GTTCCAAGGTCCCTTCTAGTTCTGACATGCTGGGACCTCAGGTGCCTCTTAACTTCAACATTCTGTATTCTAAAGTCCTTCCCAGTCCTGACAGCCTATGTTCTGAGATCCCTCACAGTTCTAATATTCTATGTTCTAAGCTCCCTCTCAATTCTGAAATTCTGTGTTCTAAGGTCCTTCCCAGTTCTGACATTCTGTGTTCTAAGGTCCCTCATGGATTCAACATTCTATGTTCTAAGGTCCCTCCCTGCTCTGAAATTCCATGTTCTAAGGTCCCTCTCCCTTCTGACATTCTATGTTCCAAGCACTCTCCCAGTTCTGACATTCTGTGTTCTAAGGTCCCTCTTGGATTCAACATTCTATGTTCTAAGGTCCCTCCCTGCTCTGACAGTCTCTGTTCCAAGCTCCCCTCCCAGATCTGACATTCTGTGTTCTAGGGTTCCCCCTAGATTTTATGGTCTTTGTTCTAAAGATTTCATCCAATTCTGAAATCTATGTTCTAAGCTCCCTCCAAGTTTTAACATTGTTTGTTTTAAAGACTTTTCCAGCTTTGATGTCCTATGTTCTAGGGTTCCTTCTAGATCAAACATTCTAAGTTCTAAGGTCCCTTCTAGCTATGACATTCTATGTGCTTGTATTCTATGTTCTAAGTTTCCTTCCTGCTCTTAGAGTCAAGACCATAGCATCATAGATTTAGAACTGAGAGGGGTCTTAGAGACCATTATTTTAAAGGTTAGGAAACTGACTCAGGGAGATTATGTTACCTGTCCAGGGCTATCCAGTTAGTAAGTATCAGAGGTGGGATTTGCACCAGGTCTTCCTGACCCCATGGTCAACACCGTCCACCTCACTGCCTTTGATTTTGTGATTCTGAGTATTAAACTGAATGAGGCTGTGTCCTAGTGCGGTGAGCCTTTAGACGAGGGAGAAATTGGGGCAGGTATGTGGCATAGTGGATAGAGCACCAACCCTGCAGTCAGGAGGACCTCAGTCCAAAGCCAGCCCCACACATTTACTAGCTGTGTGACCCTAGGCAAGTCACTTAACCCTGATTGTCTCAAGGAAAGAAAGAAAGAAAGAAAGAAAGAAAGAAAGAAAGAAAGAAAGAAAGAAAGAAAGAAAGAAAGAAAGAAAGAAAGAAGAAAAATCTTTAAGGACTGGAGCAATAAGGGAAGGCTTCATAGAAGAGCCAGGCTTTGAGCTCTACCTTTAGGTAGAAAGACTTAATGAAACTGTGGGAAGGAGGTAGGGGACAGCTTGGTGAGGGCTGGAGGAAGATGGGGGAGGAACTTCATGAGCAAAGACCCAGAGGTAGAAATAACAATGGCACGTGTTTGGGCTAAAAAGGAAATGTGAGCTAGAATGGGGGGTTTGTGTGCAGGGAGGAGATTGGGGGGGCAGGGAGGGGCAGACTCTGGATGGCCTTGAATACTAGGGGGTCATCAAAGGGTTCTGAGTAGGAGAGGGCCATGGCAAAGCTGGGCATTGGGGAAATCCACCTAGCATCACGTGTGGAATGGTGAGAGAGGGAGAGCCCGAAGGTGGGGAAGGCCAGCTAGGAGGCTGTTATGGGGACAAGAAGAGAGGACCTGGTTTAAGATGGTGGCTGCGGGAATGGAGAGAAGGAGGATTCAAGAGGGATTTGCAAGGTGGTGGATTGTATTTAGGTGGTGAAGGAGGGAGAAGCATTGAAAATGCTGAAACCTAGAACCTGGGTAGGGAAATCAGAAGATGGTGACCTTGGTTATGATCCTTGAAGCAATGGTGGGATAGACAGTCCCAGACATCCAATCAGTGTTTGAGGATCCAGAACCAGAGCTTCAACTTGATAGAAGGAAAACCTTCCTAACAAGTCCAGTTGTTGAAAAGCTCACTACCTCCTCGGGAGGTAATGAGTTCCCTGTCACTGGAGACCTTCAAGCACAGTCTGGACGACTGCTTGTTAGGGATGTAGATGGGGATTAGGTGATATGAGCTCTGGAGTCCTGTCCAGCTGCACAATTCTGCGACTCATTATTTCAAGGGCAGGACAGGAGATCTGGAGTTTAGAAGAGATTTGAGACCATAGAATGTTCAAGCTGGAAGGGACCTGAGTTGTGACATGGTCCTCATAGAGGCCATGACTTACTCAAGGTCACACAGCAAGGTAGTGGCCAAGATTTGAACCGATGTTCCCTGAGTCTTACTGAGCTTCCCTGTCTCAGTGCCAAGATGTAGAGACATGCTGAGGGCACTAAAGAGGATGGGAAGGGAGATGACGGGGGGGACAGTTTGGAGAGGTTGGTCCAGGCTCAGGGCAGGGACTCCAATCCAGAGAAGAGGAGAGATTCTGGTGGGTCATTCATGAACACACACACACACATACACACACACACACATACACATGTATGATAGCATCATGTTACATGGTGAGTATATTAGAGTACATTCCAGAAGTGCAAATAAAGGGCTATGGGAGGTCTCAGTGGGAAGGAATTTACCAGTCTGAAGATCATGGAAGGCTTCCTGGAGGAGGTGACAAAATTTAAGTTGGACTTTAAAGGATGGGTAAGAATTCAACATGTGAAGAGAGGGAGACAGGTCATGCCTAGTAGAGAGAATCATGTCAGTAAAATCATGGAGGGGAAAGCTCAGAGGACAGTCAAGAAACAAAAAATAAACCACTCCAGCTGGAGCATAATATGAGTAGGGGTGAATAATAGGAGATAAAATGGAAAGGTGGAATGGTTGTAGAGGGCCTTGAATGTCATGCAGAAGAGTTTGGATTTTAATTGGTTAGCAATAGGGTGCCATGGAGGAATTTGGAGCAGACAAATTACAGGGACCAGCATTTACCACAGTGCCTGCCACATTGTAGGTGCTTAACAAATGTTTGACTGGTCTGATTTATGGATAAGAATGAATGGTAGATTAGAGGGGAGGAAGGGGAAAGGCAGGAAGACCTGTTAGGAAACTATTGCTGTCATCCAGGAAGATGCTAATGAGGACCTGCACCGAATCAGAAGCTATGAAAAGAAAGAGAGAGGGATGGGAGTTATATTTAGGAGAGAGAATTGGGGGGACTTGGTAACTGCTTGGATATAGGCTGGAAGTAGCTGTAGGTCAAAGGGAGAATAGGAATAGGAGATAGGCTAAAGGTAAAAGGGGGGCTTTTCTGGAATGTGGAGTGGAATATGGGCCCAGGGGAAGGAGAAGAAAGTTAGGAGTCAAGCAGGAGAAGAGTGGGTTAGGCCTGGGCTTGGGGAAAGGCATGTGCAGCCACAGGTAGAGTGGGTGGGCCTGAAGGTGGGGTATGGAGCCAGGGAACCATCAGAGGAGGAGGCAGAGCTGAGGCCCTGAGGGCATGGGGGAGAAAGGACCCATTGACTGGGAAAACAGAGAAATAGTGAGGACTGAGCTCAGTGAGGGGGAAGAGAGGGATGGGTCCATAGACACAGACAGTAACATACAGCCTGTGACAATATGTGTGTAAAGAGAGAGAGAGAGAAGGAGAAAGAGAGAGAAAGAGGAGAGAGAGAGGGAGAGACAGAGTTATGCTCATGGTCATACTGCACGTTTCTGCCTAAATATACACACATGTATATATTTACAGACACACATGCAGACATACATGTAACAGATGCCCACGCACCCTCCATGCAGGGGCACACACATGTTCTCATAGCTATTCATTGAGACAACACATAGGTGAGCCTCTCATACACGTATGTACCTCCAAACACATGTACCTGCCCCACACTCATACACGTGCACATCCCCTTTCATTCACTCACACTCATGCACACAAACACACATCATAGACATCTACGGGCACACCTCAGACATGCACACTCATACACATGCACACATTTTTATATTTGAACATATGTGAATACACATATGTGCATATTCATAGCCCCTTTATATTCAAACACATTCATCCACCCATCAATCCCCCAATCCACAAGAACTTAGCAAGGTGCCCAGCACTGTGCTAAATACTGAAGATCCAAAGAGAGACCAAAAGGAAACTACGCCTGCCCTCAAGGAGTTCACTTTTTAGTGGGGACACAGTGTCAGTAAACGTGCCAAGCACAAGAATTTGGGCAGAGGAGGCTCTCCCAGTTAGAAAGGGATCAGGGAAGGCTTCATGGAGAAGGGATCATGAGCACAGTTCAGAAGGACAGGAGGGATTCTAGGAGGTAGTGGTATGTGCCATTAGAATGGAAGCTTCCTGAGGGCAGGGACCACCTTTTTTTTTTTTTAACTTGTATTTGTATCCCCAGCACTTGACACACAGTAAGGTTTTCTGATTGAGAGGTAGAGGGAGACAGAAATACATACATGATTCCATATAATTCCATAATTCCTTATATGGAAGATATATGTGTATGTGTGTGTATAATATTGTGTTTTATACACACACAGTCATGCCCAAAGGCATAGGGATCGAGGTAGGGCATGGCCCTGTGACCTCTTTGATAGAGGAAACTCTGTGCCAATTCGGGCTGGCACCATCCCTGCAATTTGGAGTCTTAGCAAGCTGAGAAATTAACCGATTGGTCCAGTCAGACAACAGGCATTTATTAAGCCCCTACTATGTGCCCAGCACTGTACTAAATGCTGTATTGGGTCTGACAGCCAGTATGTGTCACAGGGGGGTCTTGAATGCAGGTTTTCCTGGCTCTGAGGCCAGGTCTCCTACACATGCCTACGCACAGATACATGCACACTCACACACACACAATGCACATGCGACATGAACACGTGTTCATACATGTATACACAGATACTCCCCCACAAGTAATACACATATGTGCGTATGTGCACCCGTGGCCCTCACGCTCAGTAACACATTCGCTATCATATGCACACATGCAGAAGCAAGCCAGAGTCAGGCGGTGGGAGGAGGCACCACCTACATCCCTGCGGCAGGTGGGGAAAGACTCCGCAGCCCAAAGTCCCGGGTGGGAAAGGAGCCCCTGGGACTCATGACCTCCCCCTTTCTCCCCTGCCCCCAGCTCGTGTGAACTCACGGCCCCTGCACACCCTAGACACAGACTAGGTAAGTACCAGTGTAACATGAAAGCCTTGCTTCCTTCTCGCCAAGACCCTCCTTTTGCACGGCCCACCCACCGCTTCCTGTTGCTCCAATCCTTTCTGGCCTTTTAAGAAAAAAAAAAAGACCTTATTTCTATAATACTTTACCATGGCCCAAACATTTTCCTCACCTTGGGGCATGGGTTGATAAGGCCTGTTTCACAGAAGAAGAGAATGAGGGTCAGAGTGGCCCACATTATGACATTCAGATCACCTGGGCCTGCTTGTCCAAAGTCACACAGTTAGTAAGCTGTAGTGTTGGAATTTGAACTCGGGCCTTCTGGCTGCACATCCACAGTTCTTTCCACTGAGTGTTCAACCTCACTCCTACTCTCCGAATTTAAGGCCAGTGTTCTCGGCCCCATTGGACCTTGGGGAAGTAGAGGTGGTTTTGTCCAGACTCCTGGGCTTCTGGGAAAAGCTGCTTCCCTCACAGACACCTGAATCCCAACTCAGCCCCAGAACTAGCCTTCAGGTCAAATTCCCTGAATGACACCATCCCGCCTTTTTAGACACCCATACTCTAGCTTGCTGTCCTGGGTGACTTCATCTCTCCAACATTTTCCCTTCCCCTGAAATTCAATTCAGTTTAACCCTCTAGATATTATTTAGCACCTACTGTGTGCAGGGCCCTGCAATCCCGCCTTAGCCGCAGGTTTACAACCTATGGAACTAAGAGAAGCCGGGGAAGGCATGAAGTGTTTTTTGACTGCTGTGGTCAGCTCCAAAACCTGTGAGCTCAGGAGAGATCTTTTCCAGGAGGTTGTAAATCTGGAAGGCTGCCTGAGGGAAGTGGCCCACACACAGAGAATATAAAGTTGACCAGGGATTAGTGCCATTGCTAATAACATAACATAATGTAACATAATGTAACGTAACGTAACATAGTGTAACATCTTGACGCGACATGACAGGCTCTGCCACTTACTCCTGTAAAGAATGATTAAGACTGCAACAGGGAAAGAGAGAGAGGTAGGGCATTCCTGACTGCGGGGATAATATGGGTTGGTTAAGTATGACCTTGGACAAGTCTCTTCCCTTCAGTTTCCATATGTATAAGATGAACGGGTTGGATGAGATCAGGGGTTCCCAACCTTGCTTTGGACTCCAGTCTTTCTATCTGATAGGAAAAGAAATACATTCCAGAGTTTATTTCAATATGTATGTATATTAGAAGTAAAACAAATTCATTTCAATTAGATAATATAGTTATTTACCAAATATTACCTTTTTATATTATATTTATATTTATTTATATATTATATATGTATTATATATTATATTTATATTTATATTATGAGCTTTTTATAACAAGGTGGCACAGTGGACAGAGTGCTAGACCTGGAATCAGGAAGACCTGGATTCAAATCCAGCCTCAGACACTTGCTGAGTGAGTCACTCACCCCGCTCTGCCTCAGTTTCCTCATCTGTAATATGAGGGTAAAAATGGCACCTACCCCACAGAGTTGTTTTAAGGACCAAGTGAAGTATTTGGAAAGCTCTTTAATCACTATATAAATGTGAGTTATTATTGTTACTCCTGTTTTGCTCTGACCTTCCAGGAGTATATGGCCCCCAGATTGGGAAGCCCTAGACTGTGCGATGATCTCTAAGCTCTCTCTCTCTGCTCTAAGGCCTGTGAGCAGAGATCTCTTTTAGGAGAGTGGAAAGGAATCCAGCTCTTCCCTAGACTCAGAAGACTGCAGTTAAAGGGATGCCGGCAGGGGTGTAGTTGAAAGGAAACTGGACGCAGAGTCAGAAGACCCGAGTTCAAATCTACATTCTACCACCTGTTAGCTGTGTGACCTTGAGCAAGCTGTTTTTCTTCTCTGAGACTCAGTTTCCTCATCTGTAAAATGAGGGACTGGACAATAATACCTGCAATTCCCCTCCTTCCCAGGGTATTTGGCGGAAAGTCATCTGTAATCATGAAAGAGGCATAGAAATAGGAGCCAGTTACTCTCAAGCTCCCCCCCGCCTCCCTGCCAGCACCTTCTCCAGAAAACCAGTCTCCCAGGAAACTACTCCCCCCATGTCATTCCCCAGAGAGAATTCATCATGCTCTCATGATAACAAGTGCCAGAAAGCTCCCCACACCACCCCCACGGCTCCGCCATCTTCCCAGCAGCCCAGGGAAGGAAGGCAGGAAGGTAGACTTGCTGCTAAGTAAGTACAGCTGGTGAGGCTGAGCCCCCGGAGGTAAGTCACACGAGTCAGCCAGATACAGAACTTCGTCCCCAGGCACACACTAGCTGTCCTTCAGGCAACCCCCAAAGCTGCCTTCTGCGCTTTCTGCAGCTGTAACAAGACCAGGGGCTAGCCTGGTCCGAGCTCAGTCCTCTTTCCAGGGGCCCCACATCCTGCCCCACCCTCCCTCTCAGCTCCAGCGGCTGAGCAAGGACTCTCCCAGAGGGGCTATTGACTCATTGTGTGACATTGAAAAAATGCCTTTCCTTCTTTGGACCTCAGTTTCTTCATTTGTAAAATGGAAGATCTAAATCTTATAATTCTATGTTTCTATGAATGTATGACGAGCTCCCCTCCCCAGCCCTTCTCTACTCCTCAGATGTTGTGAAGAGTAGGAAGGTGGCTCATGATGATAAAGAAGCTCTCAATGGTCAACTGGGTTTCCCATAAGCATCTCTGCTGCCCCCAACCTCCTCCACTGCCTTTCACTGACCCCTCAATGCTCCCCACTGCCTCTAACCTATTCTAATGACCCCTAATACCTCCCACTACCTCCCAACGTTCCCCCATAGCCTCTAATACCCCTTATTGATCCCCAAAACCTCCTCTGCCTCCAACCTTCCTCACTGCTCCTCATTAACCCCCCAGCACTCTCCAACCTTTTCCCACTGACCCCTAACATCTCCCACTGCTCCCAACGTCCCCCATTGCCCCAATGCCCTTTACTGATCCCCAAAACTCCTCTGCCACAACTTTCCTCTTTGACCCCAATTGACTCCCAATACTCTCCAGCGTTTTCCCACTGACCCCCCCAAATCCCCACTGCCCCTAGCAAGACTCACAGATCCCCAACACTTTCCACTGCCCTTTCCATACCCTTCACTGATTCCTCAGCATTTTATCCACCCCCAGTACTTCCCATTAACTCTTCAGCATCTCCCAATGGTCCCTGTCTCCTATCCCTCACCCCCATGCTTCTAAATACCACCCCTTCCCCACCCTTTGCTCTTCTAAACACCTGTTGCTGTGGGGTTGGTCTCTGTCTCCCTCTGGTGGCCGACTTGGGTTCTGCACCCCCTGTACCTTAGAGTGCTCTGAGGAGGCCTCCTGCGTTGGAGGGTATGAAGGAGGGTGACAGAATGTATGCTGCTGAATCTATGGGGATATCAGCTTCCTCCAAGTGTGCAATTGGAGGAGGGCTATGGACTGCCGAGGAGTTTATTCACTCACTGAGGTCTCTTTGCTCAGCCTCCACACTGCACAGGGAGTTGGTTGCGCCATGTTGGGTTAGGGAGACCCAAGCTCTGCCCTCAGGGAGAACCCGATCTAGATTGGCTTAGACAGGGATGGAACAACTGGGCAGAGGTGTGGTGGAAAGGACACAACTTTGGGAGTCAAAAGTTGGGTTCACATCTCAGTCCCAACACTCATTGCCTCCAAGACCTTACGCCAATCCCTCCCCCATCTGTCCTCAGTTTCCTTGTCTTTCCTCACAGTAGAGGAGGCATGATGCACTGGATAGAGTCAGGAAGACCTGAGTTTGAATTCAGCCTCAGAAGCCTGTAATCTATGTGACCCTAGGCAAATCACTTAACCTCTCTGGCCTCAGTTTCCTCATCTGTAAAATGAGATGGTTGGACTCAACAACCTCTAAGATCCATTCTGGCTGTAAATCGATGAGCCTGTGGTAACATGAGGGGAGAAGGTAACCTCAATAGCCCTATGAAACCTCTGAACTCTGAAGCTGGTGCCCTCTAGGTGGGAGTGAGCACGGAAGGCTGCCTGGAGAAGATGGCACACCCAGAATAAGAGGCTGGCCAGGAATATTAACAGCAGCAATTATAATATGCTGATTACTACCTCTGTGGCCTTGGGCAAATCACATCACCACCTCCTTGTTTGTTCATCCGTTTCCTCTTTGGTTCTATGAAGAGGACTGGGTTTGATGACCCTTCCAGCCTAAGTCTCTGCTCCTCAATCTCTGATCTCAATGCTTTTTTTTTCTTTTTGGTGAGACCATTGGGGTTAAGTGACTTAGCCAGGGTCACACAACTAGTAAGTGTTAAGTGTCTGAGGCTGGATTTGAACTCAGGTCCTCCTGACTCCAAGGCCAGAGCTCTATTCACTATCCCTCCAATGCTTCTTAAAGGAGTTTTAATCTTGTATGGATGTAGAACACAGGGTTCCCTCTGTTTGTAAACAATCTTCAAGAGTAACTGTTATTCAGGCAGCAAGGTGGCACAGTGGATAGAGCGCTGGGCCTGGAGTCAGGAAAACCCGAGTTCAAATCCAGCCTCAGACACTTAATAGCTGGGTGACCCTGGGCAAGCCACTTAACCCTGTTTGCCTTAGTTTCCTTGTCTGTAAAATGAAGGACATGGTAAACCGCTCTAGTACTATTGCCAATGAAAACCCCAGGTCCACAAAGAGTCTGGCACAACTGAACACCAATCTTGTCGGGATGTAGAACCCAGGACCCTCCCCCCTTCTCCTGCAGTCCCCGATGGTGGGCTGCTGTGACCTTAGCTAGGCTGCTCCTTGGACAACAGATATGGACTCCATCACTGAGCCCGGGCTTGAAGCCATTCTAGCTCAGTAAGAGGTACCTGAGCTAAGAGTAAGAAAGATTTTTAGAATGACAGAAGGTGTTCTATCATAGAATGAGAGCTTTCGAGGGGGAAGGCGCTCAGAGGTCATGTTGTCCAACTTCCTCCTTTTACAGATGAGAAAACAGAGGGACCGAAAGGTTAGTCACCCCGGGTTACACAGCAAATGGTACAGCTGAGAGTCAAACCCAATAAGGTTCAGATGTTATCATCCTCATTTTATATATGAAGAGAAAGAATCCCATAGAGATGAAATGACTTGCTCAAGGTCATATGGTTAATTGAGGAAGGGGTTGGGAAGGGTATAAGCACTTATATGACCCCTACTATGTGCCACTACCATGTACCTACTATGTGCTGAGCTATGCTAAGCATTTTATAAGTAATGTCTCATTCGAGACTCACACTAGCCTTGGGAGGTAGATGCCATTTTACATTACATTTACATTAACCCCATTTTACGGTTTAAAAAACGGAGGCAAACAGAGGTTGAATGACTTGATCAGGGTGATAACAGCTAGCAAATGTCTGAGGCTGGATTTGTTCTTGACTCTGGACTCAGAGCTCCCTCCACTGCACCACTTTGCTACCTCTAGGTAGACATGCTTTCTGTTACACTTTTAGGTTAAAGTCTACGACTGTTCTGAGAGGTAGGTAGTACAGTCATTATTTTCCTTATTTTTCAGGTGAGGAAAGTAAGATTCTGAGACATTGAAGATCAGGGAAAAGAGGGAATTTTAAAACCACCTCAGGTTTTATGTTATGCCTTTCAAATTGCCAAAGATGACAAATGATGAAAATGGCAAATGTTGGAGGGGTTGTGGAAAGATAAGTTCACTAATACATTGTTAGTGGAATTGCAAATTAGTACAACCATTCAGGAAAACAATTTGGATCTGTGTTCAAAAAGTAACAAAATTGTGCATACCCTTTGATCCAGAGATACTGCCCCTGGATATATATATTAAGGGAGTAAAAAACAAAGGGAAAGTCCCATATATACAAATGTTTTCAGCAGCATCTTTTGTAGTAACAAAGAACTTGAAAGAAAGAGGGAGTTCCCAGGGCCCAGCCTGGGGAGGGTGGTTGTCTGGGGCACACAAGGGCTGAGGGGACCCACTGAGGTCCCCAAGGAAGGGGTTCTCCTTTGCCAAGGCAGGGCCTGAGCTCTCTCTGTGCCTGTGTGCCCCAAGGCTGGGCCATGGGGAAAGGAAGCAGCAAGCTGGCCCCCGAGGTGTTGGAGGACCTTGTACAGAGCACGGAGTTCAGCGAGCAGGAGCTGAAGCAGTGGTACAAAGGCTTCCTGAAGGACTGTCCCAGTGGCATCCTCAACCTGGAGGAATTTCAGCAGCTCTATGTCAAGGTAAACCTCCTCCCTCCTCCCCTTCCGTCTTCCCCTGCCTGGACTCCTGGGCTGTGGATGGAGGTCGGGGCCAAGGTCAGCTGGAGCAAAGTCGAAGCCCCTGAGGCCTCATGCTTATGAATCCCAAGGGAGAGGGTCCCTACCCAAGGGGGGGTGCTGGGGCCTTCCCTGTGGTGGGAGGTGTTACACAGATCCTACCTGGAGGCCCTCTCCATTCTCCCTCTTCTCTCACCTGATCCCCAACGCAGACACACCTTTCCCTGCCCTGGAAGTGTAGGTGGTCTTGTGCTTACCTCCACCATGCCCCAGGAGTCTGGGGGGGGGGGCGAGGGAGTGGGAGATCCCTAGGGACATGCCTAGTGGCATCAAGGCCTGCAGTTTCAGGTTGCTCCCACCAGGACCCTGGGTTTCAATTTTTTTTAAATTGTTTTATATTTTTTCAATTAACGAACTATTTTCTCTCCCTGCCCCTAATGAAAAAGCCAAAAAAAAAAAGCCCAACAAATATACATAGTCAAGCATAACAAATTCTTTTATTGGTCATGTACAAAAATATCGATGTCTCCTTCCGCTCCCTAAGCTGACCACCAGTCTTTCAGGAGGTGGGTAGCTTCAGGTCTCTTGAAATCATGGCTAGTCATTGCATTGATCGGAATTCTTAAGTCTTTCAAAGTTTGTCTTTGCAATGTTATTGTTATAATATAAATTGTCCTCGTGGCTCTGCTCATTTCTCCATGCATCAGTCCCCTACAAGTCTGCCTTGGGCTTCCCTCCCCCCTCCTCCAGGCTCACATCTGACCCTGCCTCAGTCCTCTGCTCTGCCTCCTGTTTCCTCTCTTCTCTCTGCTTTTCTCTTATGGTGTGTGGCTCCCTGTCCTCCTCCTTTCCTTTCCCCCCAACTGTTCCCCTCTCTCCTTGATCTAGTTTTTCCCATATGGTGATGCCTCTAAGTTTGCCCAGCATGCCTTCCGCACCTTTGACAAGAATGGAGACGGGACCATCGACTTCCGGGAGTTCATCTGTGCCCTGTCGGTCACCTCTCGAGGCAGCTTCGAGCAGAAACTCAACTGGGCCTTTGAGATGTATGACCTGGATGGGGACGGACGTATCACCCGCCTGGAGATGCTGGAGATCATTGAGGTGCTGACGGCGAGGGACATCACAAGTCAGAGCGGGGCTGGGGCATTCAGAGGGGCCGAGGGTCAGAGCAGGGGAGCAAGGGAGAAACTGAGGAGGGCAAGGAGAAGACAGGTTTAGAGGTCAGAGAGTGGGCCACATGGCTGGGGTGGTCAGAGAAGAGAAAGGCAGATTTGGAGAGGTCAGGGGTCAGAGGAGTGAGTTCAGAGGTCAGTGGTTTTAAATTAGAGGTCAGAGTAGTCCACAAAGTCACACAATCACAGAATGTTAGGGTTTGAAGGCACCTGTGGCCATCTTGTCCAACCCATACCTGAACAAGGAATTCCCACCATAACGTACTTGACATGGTTTTTTAGTCTCTGCTTGGAGCCCTCCAGTGACAGGGAGCTCACTCTTTCTGGGAGCAGCCCATTATGATTTTGGACAGTCCTAATTATCAAGCCTGAATTTGTCTCTTTTCAACTTTTACCCATTGCTCCAGGTTCTGCCCTCTGAGGCCAAGAACAAGGCTAATCCCTTTCCTACATGAAAAATGCTTGAAAGTGATAGGTATCACTTCCCCAAATCTCTTCACCAGGCTGTGCATCCCCAGGTCCTTCGGCCAGTCTTTAGGTGGCATGACCCTGAAGCCCCAGGTCAGGGGGGTCAGATAGCAGAGCGAAGTAGTGAAGTTTGGGAATTGGAGGTCAGGATGAGTGGTGAGGTCTGAGGTCAAGGGTCAGAAGTCAGAGTGGGACAGTGAGAAGTTTGGTCTCAGGGAATCCAAGGGGCTTGTCCAGAAGGCTGGGCCAGCAGGGAAGGAGGGGCTGATCCAGATGCCTTGAGCAGCATCTCCACTCTTCCCTGAAAGGCCAGGGCTCACCATTCTCCTGCCTTCCCACCCAGGCTATCTACAAGATGGTAGGAACGGTCATCATGATGCGCATGAACCAGGATGGGCTGACCCCTCAGCAACGTGTGGACAAGATCTTCACCAAGATGGATCAGGATAAGGACGACCAGATCACCCTGGAGGAGTTCAAGGAGGCTGCCAAGAGTGACCCATCCATTGTGCTTCTGCTGCAATGTGACATGCAGAAGTAGGGGGAGCCCTGCCCCGGGGCTTGCCCCTGCCCAGGGCCTTCCACGGTCCTAAACACTTCTGTCCAGGGCATCCCTGTGTCCTACCCTGGGCCCCCCCCATCCCCAGGGCCTCCAGGGTCCTAATCCCTTCTGTCCAGGGTCTCCCTGTGTCCTGCCCTGGGCCTCCCCATCCCCAGAGCTTCCCAGGGTCCTAACCCTTTCTGTCCAGGGCATCCTTCTGTCCTTTTCTTCCCTCCCCTCTCCTCCCTCTCCTCAGAGCCACCCAGTTTCCAGCCCTCCTCTGCCCTGGATCTTCTCCCCAAGTCTTCCAATGTTCCACACTTTTCTGCCCCAGGTTTCTCCCACCTCAGGGGCTCTCCAACTCCCCCTCCCTAGGGCCTCAGCCCACCTCTGCCCTCCCTCTCCCCAGGGTTTTCTAGTGCTCCATCCCTCTTTGCCCCAGGTATCCCTCAACCCCTTGGCCTTGGCTGTGGTTCACCCTGCCCCTTCCATGGGCTCCCCTCATCCCAGGGTCTTCCAGGGGCCCAGCTGTCTTAGCCCTGGATCCCCTCCCTGTGTCACTCCTTCCTCCAACCCTACAGTTTTGCCCCTGGTTCCCCCTCCTCTCCTGTTGAACTTACTGGCAGAGCTTAGGGGCAGGCCTTGAGGAGGGGGGTATCCCTAGCCCCAGATCCATCACATGCTGACCCAATACTCTATTACTGGGTCCCTGGCCAGTTTTTTTCCCGGGGCGATGTCCCTGTTCCTAGGGACTCCCTGGGCCCCCTAAGCCCAGTAAGGGAATTCCTCCTGGAAGCACTTTGGCATAATACAAAGAGCCCTATATTCAGAGTCAGAGGACCCAGGTTTGAGCCCTGGCTCTGCTCCTTCCTGGTTATGTGACCTTAGGCGAGTCACTTCGTCACTCTGAGCCTCAGTTTTCCCATCTGTAAAATGAGGGGGTTGGACTAGATGATTGCTAAGGGACTTTTAGCTCCAAATCTCACCAGCCTATGAATCTCCATCAGTGCTTCCTTCCCCATGCCCTCCCCCTGCCCAGTCCATGACAGACACCCAAATCCCATCCCAAGAGAATCCACTCACTCCTCCAAACCCACTGCAGGTGGGGAAAAGATAAGGGGACAGCTGGGCCTATCCTGAGCATCTGTTCCCACTTCCATGACACTTGCCTTTCCCTTCCTGAGGCAAGTCTCTTTGGAGATCTTTCCAGGCCTTCATTGGGCTGGGGCTGGACCCTCTAAAGGGAGTGAATTCCACCCTGATGAATGCTGGGAAGAGCAGTTGGTACGGGTCCCTGGTGCCCCCATCTTTTTTTTTTTTTTTACATTTTAATATTTTGGGCAGTTGTGCCTAAGAGCAGATGACTCTGAAAGCTCAGTTTCCCAGATGGAGGTGACCCCCCTGATCTTCCCCCTCAAGGTCCTGCTACTCCTCAAAGGCAACAGAGTCTTTGGGCCCAGACCTTCCTTAATGGGGTCCTCTCTGGCTCTAGGCCCAAGGGGTGGATTATTTGTTTAAAGGAAGAAGTGAGTGGAGGGACAGAGCCTCGAGGGGTCATGGTAGGTATGAACAGTCACAGCTGAATCTCAGGTGGAGGAGTTGTCCTATTCATGGTCATTTGCTGGCCAAGAAAGTCACATTCAGTGATAATTAGAAATGTAGACAGCAAGTTGAAGGGAGGAAATCACCGAAAACACCCCTCTCTTAAGTTAAAAAGCTGAGGCTGTGTGGAAGTTGATCCCCTATGGGTGAATATGCTGATCAGTGGGCATTTTTGTTGCAAGAGAAGGGAGCCTGAGCTGCTGTTGCTGGACGAGAGGAGGTGTGGTCTGGATGCCCTGGCTTCTGAGAGGCTCGTGGGAACATCACTTAATTCAATTCAACAAAGGTTCAAGGAAAGAAGGATAAAATAATGCAAGAGTCCCTGACCTTAAGTAGCTTTCATTCTGTTGGGGGCCTACTGTGCTGGACTCGAGAAGGGGCTAGATACAAGAAATAATGCCAAGTAATTTCATGAGGGAGAGAGGCAATAGATTTATATTGAGGGAGAGAGGGAGAGGAAAGAGAAACAAAGAGAAGAGAGAGAGAGGAAAAGTGGGGGAAAGAGAAAAGAGAAAAAGAAAAGAGAGAGAAAGAAAACAGAGGGAGGGAGAAGAAAAGAGAAAGTAAGAGGAGGAGAAAGGAGAGGAAGAGAGGAGAAAAGAGGAGAGGAGAGAGATAGAGAGAGGAGAAAGTAGGAGAGAGAGAGAAAGTGAAAGAAAGAGAAAAGAGAGAGAAGAGAAAAAGGAGAAAGAGGAGAAAAGGAAAGAGGAGAGGAGAAAAAGAAAAAGGAGAGAGGAGAAAGGAGAAAGATGAGAGAGAGAGTGGAGAGAGAGGATAAAGGAGAAAGTAAGAGAGGAGAGAGGAGAAAAGAGAGAAAGGAGAGGAGAGAAATAGAGAGGGGGAAAGTAAAGGGAGGGAGGGAGGAGAAAGAGAAAGAGAAGGAGAGAGAGAGAGAGAGAGGAAGAAAGAGAAAAGAGAGAGGAGAGAAAAAGAAATGAGAGAGAAAGAGAGAAGAAGAGAAAGGAGAGAAACAGAAGAGAGAGAAAGGAAGGGAGAGAGAAAGAGAACAGAGGGAGGGAGAAGAAAGGAGAAAACAAGAGGAGGAGAAAGGAGAGAGGGAGAGAGAGGAGAAAAAAGAGGAGAGGAGAGCTATAGAGAGAGGAGAAAGCAGAAGGAGAGTGAGCGAGAGAGAGAGAGAGAGAGAGAGAGAGAGAAAAGAAAGAGGAAAGAAAAAGGAGAAAGAGGAGAAAAGAAAAGAGAAAGAGGAGAGGAGAAAAAAAGAAAGGAGAGAAAGAACAGAAGGAGAGAGGAGAAAGGAGAAAGTAAGAGGGGAGAGAATAGGAGAGGAGAAAAGATAAAAAGGAGAGGAGAGAAATAGAGAGAAGAGAAAGTAAAGGGAGGGAGGGGGAGAGAGAGAAAGAGAGAGAGAGAGAGAGGAAGAAAGAGAAAAGAGAGGAGAGAAAAAGAAAGGAGAAAGAGAGGAGAAGAGAAAGGAGAGAAAGAGAAGAGAGAAAAAGAAAGGAAAGGAAGAGAAAACAGAGGGAGAGAGAAGAAAGGAGAAAGTAAGAGGAGGAGAAAGGAGAAAGGGAGAGAAGAGAAAAAAGTAGAGGAGAGAGATAGAGAGAGGAGAAAGTAGAAGGGGAGAGAGAGAAAGTGAAAGAAAGAAAGAGAAGAGAAAAAGAAAGGAGAGAGAAAAGAGGAGAAAAGAAAGGAGCGAGGAGTAAAAGAAAGAAAAGAAGAGAAAGAAGAGGAGAGAGGAGAAAGAAGAAAGTAAGAGAGGAGAGGATAGAGGGAGAGAGGAGAAAGAGAAAAGGAGAAGAAAGAGATAGAGAGAGGAGAAAGTAGAGGGAGGGGAAAAGAGGGAGAGAGAGGGAAAGAGAGGAGAAGAAGAAGAAGAAGAAGAAGAAGAAGAAGAAGAAGAAGAAGAAGAAGAAGAAGAAGAAGAAGGAGAAGAAGAAGAAGAAGAAGGAGAAGAAGGAGAAGAAGAAGAAGAAGAAGAAGAAGAAGAAGAAGGAGAAGGAGAGGGGAAGGAGAGAGGGAGAGACAGAGGTGGAGATGGAGGGAGGGAGAGAGAGAAGAGAAGAGGAGAGGAGAGGAGAGGAGAGGAGAGAGAGGAGAGGAGAGGAGAGGAGAGGAGAGGAGAGGAGAGGAGAGGAGAGAAGAGGAGAGAAGAGAAGAGAAGAGAAGAGAAGAGAAGAGAAGAGAAGAGAAGAGAAGAGAAGAGAAGAGAAGAGAAGAGAAGAGAAGAGAAGAGAAGAGAAGAGAAGAGAAGAGAAGAGAAGAGAAGAGAAGAGGAGAGAAGAGGAGAAGAAAGAGAGTGAGGGGAGAGTGAGACAGACAGAGACAACAAAACCGTGAGAACTGAAGAAATTGTCCCAATTCTAGGTAGATGAAGAAAATAGTTGTTTCTGAAGGACCCAGCAAATATAGAGTCTTCACTCTCAGAAAGGAGAATTGAACCTCTCCCACCCCAGAAAAAAACAATCACTGTATACAACTCTTTGCTCCCTGGAATATTTTTCTAATCCATCTCCATTCTGAGCTGCCACTATCAGTTGTTTCTGCTTCCTTATGGTCTTTTTAAAATTTGGACTTCTCATTTGGGTAATGGTTTCCTGAAAGGTGAACCATTCTCAGGATGGAAATGATTCAATTCAAGAAACAATTATTAATCACCTACTATGTGCAAGCTCCTGTGAGGGGAAAAAAGATGAAAGACAACACAGAGCCTGCCCTCAAAGGGGCTTAGAGTCTACTAGATAAGCTTCTCTCTCCTTTCCCCTTCCACACATCTGTTTATTTCCTGATCTATTGAAATGTTTCCAAATTCAGACAATTCTTTTTATGTGCTGCAAAAGATTCAGCAAGACCCTTGGGTGAGACCTAAACATTGGAACTTGTGTCCCCTGCTCTAGGACAGATGTCCATGGCAGGACCCTAGCCTGCATTCCCAGACCAGACACCTGCAATGTATTCTAGTTGGAAAGGACTTTCTCCAAAGTGAATCCTTAGCCTGATGCATATTTTAAAACTCAATGAAATGCAAAGCAAAGTCCCTCATCCCTGACATTATCGAATCTCAGAATTTCAGAAAACTCCAGAGGCCATAGAGCAAGTAACATCTAATTGGGATTATTCCTCCCACAACGTCCCCAACTGGTCATCATCTACTCTCGTCCAATGATGGGGAGTTTGCCCCCTCCGAAGGTAGCTTGTTACTCTTTAGGATAGTTCTAATTGTTAAGAAGTTTCCCCTCACTGGAGGAGTTTCCACCTAGTACTCCCAGTTTTGCCCTCTGGGGCCAAGCTGAACTCAGTTAGCCCCGCTGTCACACAACAGATCCATCAGCCTGTGGAGAATCTCAGAATCAGAAATCTGCCGCAGCGTGAGCTAGTAAAGTTCTTCCTATTTCTTCATAGATTCTCTTACTTTACTTCCTCTTGTACCCAGGTACGACAGTACATTGACTTCCATTTTTTTTTAAGGGTCCATTATATCCTCATATGGATCTTTCATCTTCCGATGAAGATCCCATCTCTTCCCGACTTAGTCCACGGTCTTCATGAGTGGTTGTGTCCAAATAATTTATCACCTGGTGGCAAATCTCTTTGCACCTAGCTAGACTGATCATCAGAGGACACACAGGATCCATCATGGACCCTCAGCTTGAAACGTTTCCTTCTTGGTAGGTGTATGCCCTTTTAGCATTGCCTTCAAAAACTCCAATTCCTTACCTTGGGGCAGCAGGGAGGCGTCACTGGAGTATGCTGCTGAAAAGAGACTCTGATCTGCAGAACTGAGATACATTTTGACTTTTACCTTTTAATTAGGTCAGCTTTCCTTCCTCCCTTTTGTGGAGTTAAAGGTCCCAGGGTTAGGAGGTACCATATCAGACTGCCTTCCAGTCCCAAATCTGCTAGACTTGCCCCTCTTCTCAGCTGTAAGTCTCCTAAGAATCTTATTTCCTATCTTGAGAGAACAAAGAGATATTACTGCTGCTGTCCATACTACTCCTATTCCTGTAAGGATTAGTCAGGAGGGCAAGATATATACCCAGTAACCTCTAGACCAGGTCAATAACAGGGGAACCCATTGGTAAAAAGGTCTGAATCCTTATATTTCAGATCAGAGGAAGGTCCCTGCCTTCGGTGCTGACCTTCCTTTCTCTGTCCTCTGTGGAAAGGGACCCTAATCATCTCAGAATAGGGATCATTCTACATAAGAATCTTCCTTTTGCATCATTGTTAGACTTTCATTCCAGGAATGTAATGGCCAGATGGTGAGACATGAGCACCTCATCTTAAATATTGCACATGTAAAAAATAATCATAGTCCAATATTTTTCAGTTTTTCCAGAAGGTGAAATCTAAAAAGTCTTCAAAAAAAAGTCATTTTCTCCCTCCTGAAACATGTTAGTTTTTCTTTGAGGACCTTCCAATATGTCTCCCTAGAAAAGTCTTGGGGTCACCCAGAGACTGTGCCTGGAACAGGGGCCCAGGGCACCAAAGGCAGAGCTGGGAGAAGGGGGCTTCAGAGCTGGGGATCCCTGCCTTACCCTGCTGGGTTGGGGACCCATCACAAGGGGTTCTGGCCAGACAAGGCTGAGAAAAGCCATGGTGCCCTTCTTCTCCCTTACCCCAGCTGGGGCAGGGATATGAACTAGAGGTTCCCAGAGGGAGCCTCTCCTCCCTTTTCTCTTTGAGGGAGCTGTGAGGGATCAGGGTGCTCAGAGACTGAAGGGTGCCAGCTTGTCCTTCCCTGCTCTATTCCAAAGCACCAGACCCACGTGCCCAGGTCCCCTTCCAGCCAGATGTGGAGTTTCCAGCTGTGTCCATGTGGGAGTGACTGTCCTAACTGTTAGACCATGTGCAGTGTGATATTTTTTTAAAGACAAACAATAAAAAGTGTAACAGTGCCCATGTAACAATGCTAGGGTTTCTCTCTGGGTTGTACCCAGAGCCCAGTCCTATTATGGCCTCCCACAGAGGTGTTGGGTGGAGACCCATGAGTTTAGGGGGATGGTGGCAGGAGGTGGGCAGTGTTAGGGTGGCTGGGGACCAAGGGAAGGGGGCATTGGCAGATGTAGGGCAGGGACAGAAGGAAGGGAGAAAGCTGATTTCAGGTTACCCTACATAGCTGGTATGGTCCAGTCCCTATTTACCCCCCCAGCTTCTTGCCCAGGCCTACCATTGCTCAGGAGTCAGTCCTAGGGGGTGAAATCTAATCAACTCCCCCTCCAGTGAAATATTCTAAGTCCGATTAATCCCACATAATTTCCTGAATTCCATCTAGACTTGTGCTAAGCCAAGTCACAGCTCCTTTTTGTGTCTGTTACCTTCTCTATAAAATGAGTAGGTTCATTCTCAACTTATTCCAAGTACTTAGTATTTGCGTGATGAAAGAGGAAGATAGGAGACATCAGTGTATAGTGTACAAAGTAATAAGACCCAAGCATTTGGAGACTTGCTGCACAACTTTGGGTGAATTCCTTTCCTTTTCTAGGCCTCATTTTCCCCATCTGTAAAATTATTCTCAAGAGCATCTTCTAGGTCCGATAATCTGGAATTCTGAGAGGCCCACTGAATTTCCTCATCTGTAGAATGAGGGATTGGGCTAGATGTCCTTTGAAGTCCCTTCTACCTTTAAAGCTCCTATCCTGCCATCTCCCAGTAGCATGGGTAGAGAATGCCACCTGCTCTGCCCTCCCCTCCTCCTTTCTTCTCTCTCCACCTTAGTGGCCTGACCCAACACAACACCTTATGCTCCCTGAGGCCAGAGATGGAGGTGGGATGGAGCTGGTTTGTTTTCCAAGGACTCTCAGAGGGCAAGAGCCTCCCACAGGCAGGAAGTAATTAAGATGGGATGGGGGTGGGGGTGGGAGATGACCCAGGAATGGAAATAGGTCAGCTGGCACTCAGCCAGCTCAGAGGCCTCTGACCTGTTCTGGGCGGTGGACTCCAACTCAACTTCCCCTGAGCACAAGGGTAGGTTGCTCCCCTACTTTGATGGATGGTTTCCTGGAGGAGGGACTGTCCTGTCTCTGCCAACCCCTCTGACCTTAGGGAGGGAGGGTGGGGGACCCAGCTGAGGCCCTGAGTGATTACAAGAGCTGAGTATCCTTCCCTCCTCCCAGACCCTGGAGCTGGACCTTGAAGGATTGTTGTGAGGAAAGTGATCGGTAAATCTCAAAACACTTTGGAAATGAGAATTATTCATATCTATAGAGCAAGAATTGAGATGGGGAGGTAGAAGCCTAATGACACACATGTAGTAAGTAGCATTAGCACCAACAAATTACTTGGCCTGTGCCAAGCTTCTTGGAGGAGAGGGAGGGATGGGAAGGGGTGATTCATCCTTCCCCCAGCGATCCCGCTCTGCTGGGAGGAAAGGAGGGAGACATGGTGGTCATGCAGAATTGAGAGTGGCCATGGGGGCAGCTAGGTGGGACAGTGGATAGAGCACCAGCCCTGAAGTCAGAAGGACCTGAGTTCAAATCCGGCCTCAGACCAAACACTTGACACTTAGTAGCTGTGTGACCCTGGGCAAGTCACTTAACCCTAATTGCCTAAAAAAAAAAAAAGGAAAAAAAAGGAGAGTGGCCAGACCCCTGGACAATTCTGGCCCTAGGAGCCAGAAGAATGTAAGCCACTGAACAGTAGGGCCTTGAGTTTTCATCTTTGCATTCTTAGTAATAGTAGGCACATCATAAGTGCTTGGTGAGTGGAATCTGGAGCAGATAAAGACAGGGCCTGAAAGCTGCCCTAAAAACAGCCCTATGAGGTGGCCAGTGAAGGTATTATTCTCCCCAACAGCACCACAACCCTTCCTGCCTCTGGCTCTGGGAACAGTAAGGGTCACTACCATTCCTGGAAGGAGCTGTCCAATCCCTCACCATCCCTGCACTTCCCAGGCCAAACCATGCCTCCCTGGCACTAATCTCCTGGAGTCACCAGACTCTTCTCTTATTAGAATGTAACCTCCTTGAAGCCAGGGGCTGCCTGGCTTTTTGTATTTGTGACTCCAAATGCTTAGTAACGATGTCTGACACATAGTAAGAGTTCAATAAATCCTTTTCCATCCATTCACTTTACAAAGGAGAAAACTGAGAAAGGGAAAATAGCTTACTCAAGGTCACATAACTTGTAAGTGTCAAATGAACACATATTTATTAAATGCCTTCTGTGTAGGGGTCTTGTGCTGGGCTTTTGGTGAAATACAAGGTTCGCTGGAAAGACTTACATGAACTGATGCCGAGTGAAGTGAGCAGAACCTGGAAAACATTGTACACAGCCACAGCCACATTGTGTGATGACTGACTGTGATGGACTTAGCTCTTCTCAGCAATGCAAGGATCTAAGATGACTCCAAAAGATTCACAGTGGAAAATGCTATCTACATCCAGTGAAAGAGCTATGGAGTCTGAATGAAGATCAAAGCATACTATTTGCTCTTTTTTTGTTTTTTTTTTCTTTCTCATGGTTTTTCCTTTTGGTTCTACTTCTTCTTTACGACATGCCTAATGTGGAAATATGTTTAATATGAATGTATATGGGGGCAGCTAGGTGGCTCAGTGGATAGAGCTCTGGCCTTGGAGTCAGGAGGACCTGTGTTCAAATCTGGCCTCAGAGACATGACACTTAATAGCTGTGTGACCCTGAGCAAGTCACCTAACCCCAACTGCCTCACCAAAAAGCACATATATGTGTATATACATATATATATATATGTATATACACATACACACACATATACACACACATGTACACACACGTATATGAATGTATATGTATAGACTATATCAGATTGCATGCCATCTTGGGGAGGGAGCAGGGGAGGAAGGGGGAGCAAATTTAGAACTGAAAAGCTTATAGAAGTGAATGCTGAAAACTAAAAAGAAATAAAGAAATGCAAGGTTCAGAAAAGAGTTGTTCCTTAGCCTTAGGAGTTCCTAGCCTAGTAAGGAGCCAGCACTCAAACCCATATCTTTGGACTCCGAGTCCAGGGCTCTTTCTTTTATTTTGCTGAATTTTAATTTGTAGGGAACTCCTGGTGTATAAACTCCCTTCACCAAAGCAAATTTGTAGTCTAGAACTTACTCTTAGAGAGCTCCTTGGGGGCACCAAGAGGTGACTCAGCAGTGTCAGAGGCAGGCTTTGAACGCAGATCTTCCTGATTCCAAGGCCAGCCCTCTATCCCTGGCATCTCTCTGGGGCTCATTCTGGGATACTGGGCTGTTTGTCAATAGCTATCAATGGTTCTTGGTGTCCTATAGCACAGACTCTGAGTGGGCTGGGGTGGGCTGGGACTCAGGTCCCTCCTCTGGAAATCCAAGGAATGTTGGAGGTGGGGGAGAGAGATGATTCACCTAAGATATGGGGTTCCAGCAGGAGATGGGCCAAGGATGCAGAAGCAGATTTAGAAAATGCCGATGAGGTAGTACCATGGACAGAAAAAGGCTAGATTTGGAGTCAAATTCCAACTTTGCCACTGTGTGACCTTGGGCTAGGTGGCTCAGTGCATTGAGCCTAGAGTCAGGAAGACCTGAGTTCAAATCTGACCATAGACACACACACTCTAGCTACATAGCCTGGTCAAGGGACTTAACCAGTTTGCCTCAGTTTCCTCAAATGTAAAATGAGGATAATAATAATACCCACTTCCCAGAGTTGTTGTGAGGGTCAAGTGAGATAACCTTTGTAAAACTTAGCACAATGCCTGGCACCCAGTAGATGCTTAATAAATGCTTGTTTCCTCCCTTCCTTGGTGAGCCTCAGTATCCTCATCTGTCAAATGAAGGGGGTGAGCTAAATGCTTTTTAAGATCCTTCCTGCTCTAAGTTCTATAATCCTAGGGCAGATTTCACAGGGTCTCCATAGACCTTGCAAGTGTCTGGACCCTGGAGGGAGGGAAGTGAAGAGGTTCTTGGCTCAGAGGAAGTCAGCAGTTCATTCTCTGCTATTAGCTACAAGAGGTAGCTTCCGGATGGGAAGGTGGAATAGAGCAGATGTCCAGCAGGATGGCTTTTAGGGGCCAGGAGATGTCAAGTGGTCTGGAAATTTGTAAGTCTCCATACTGGAAATAAGAAAGCTGAGGCCCAGAATGGAAAGAATTTGGGGGTCACAGAGGGAACTAGTAACAAAGCCAGGCCTAGAACCTGGGTTAGTGACTGAGCTCTCCACACCAGACCTTAAAAAGCTGCAGTCCTTTAGTCCTGCTCTCCTGGGCTCAGATCCCAGGGTTCAGCTCTGACCCCTCCGATTAGGTCCACCCCCCCCACCCCCAGCTGCTTCTGCCAGTTCTCTGGGACACAGGCCAGGGGCCCTGGTGTTGCCCGGCAAGGGGGGAAGGGGGGACATCTAAAATATATTCCCCAGTCAGCTCCCTCCCTTCCCCTGAGGATTTCCCCCACCTCCCCGAAGGCTCGAGATAGAGGGTCCTAACCCTCCAATTCCCGCTTCCTCCCCTTCTTCTGCCCCTCCCACTCTGCCTCCCCCTCCCCCAGCTGTTCCCTCAGGCTGGGAAGGACATGTGTCCTTGGAAGGATAGGGTGAGAGGGTGGAGGGGGTCCTTCAGTTGCCCAGATTAGAACAGCTCCAGGCTTCCTAGGGGGAGAGAGGGGCAGGAGGGAGGCTGGCCTTACAGACATATAGATTGTGTGTGCCTACAAATGTATAGATATGCATATACGTGTACGTGCATATATTATGCATGCATGTATATTGCATTGCATACACATATGCCCGAATGTGTATATACCTACACGATACATGTGTCATGTGTCTATATGTGTGTATATGGACATACGTTTCTGTGTATATACCTGCAATCCCTATGTGTTTATATATTGTATATGCCCTTACATATCTCCCATTGCAGGACGACAGGAGGCTGGAGCCCACCAGGGAGGAGACACCACCCCCCCGCCCCCCACCCCCGTTGGGTGCGCAAGCGCCCAGATCCTGCCCCCCCCCAAATAAAGCAGCTCCTCCCTCCCTCCCTCCCTCCTGTCACCACGGGCTGCTTTGCTACTGAGCAACCTTTCTAGCCATCCCTGGGACAGAGCAGCTGGCTTTGGGTCCAGACCAGGGCTTGTCCGCCTTCCTCTTCAGCTCCCCCTCTGCGCTCTCTCCCCTTCTCTTCCTCCTCTTCCTTTCTTCCTACCTCCTCTCCCCGCCTCTTCTCTCTTCCTTTATTCCTTCTCCTCTTCCCCTTCTCCTCCCCCTTCTCTTCTGCTCTTCTCACACTCCTCCTCTAGATTCCTTTGGCCACTTCGCATGGATTCTGGGCCTCAGGGGCCCTTGGGGACCCCAGAGTCCGGGGGGAAACCGCCAAACTGGCAGGAAGCCAAGACTTTCTATGACAACCTGGCACCAAAAAAGAAGCCCAAATCGGTAAGATGTAGCCCTGTGTGAGCCAGGGAGAAGGGGACCCCAAACCCTGATGAGGGAGGGACAGAGGGACTGGGAGATGGAAGGATCCTCGTTCCCCAGTCAGAAAATCTGCTAGAGTGAAATCACTGCTTCTCTCCCTCCCCTGCCCTCCCCTCTCTCCTCCTCCTCCTCCTCCTCCTCCTCCTCCTCCTCCTCCTCTCCCTCCCCTTTTGTCCCTCCCAGTCTCTGGCAGGGACTGGGTGTTTATTTCAGTTCTGGCCTGGGCTTTGTGCGTCTCCTCTTCCCCATCAGAATGCCCTCCCCCTCCTCCGATGATCCCCTAGCCCCTGGTGACAAGCCGGCTTCTTGCTGTTGGGTCTCAAAGCACGTGTTTATCCAACTGAATTAAATCTAAATGAATGGAATGGAGGGTGGCTTCCCTGTCCAGACTCGTGGCTGTGGGCTCTCCGGAGTGTAGGACCTGAGGCTCCCCTGTCCTGGATCATGGGGAGCTCTAACCATTGACATTCTCATTCCAGACTGCTTACCCCAAGTCTCTAGAGCTGGATGGACCTGGTGGAACATGGGGGCACTGACATTTAGGCAGGGGGGCTAGGGAGGAAGGGAGGGCCTCAGACTGTTGGACAGACAAATTTATCCTCTGATTTAGAGCTGGCAGGGACCTTAGGCATAATTAGCCCAACTATCTTGTTCTACAAACGAAGAAATGGAGTTGAATTGATAGGCTCATAGAGTAAATGGCAGATGCAATACTGGAATCCAGTCTATCTAAGTCAAGCCTGCTTCCATGCTCTGGAGGAGAGACTGAGTAGCCCTGTCTGTTGGCGCCTTGCCTGCTGCCTACAAACACGCCCATGTCTCTCCCATCCTCAAAACACCGAACTTAAGCTTTCTAGCCCCACTATCATCCTCTGTCTCCTCTGACCTTGTGGTCAAACTCCTTGAAAAGGCCTCTATAATAGATTCTCCACCTTCTCGCCTCTCATTCCTTCTTAACCCCTTACAATCCAGCTTCTGACCTCATCATTCCACTAAAGCTGCTCTCTCCAAAGTCACCAGTGGTCTCTTAATTGCCAAATCCAGTGGCCTTTTCTCAGTCCTATTCTTGATTTCTTCTAAGCCTGTGACACTGCTGATCATTCTCTCGTCCTTGATATTCTCTTCCCGCCAGGTTTTCAGGACACCATGTTCTCCTGGTTCTTCTCTTACCTATCTGACCTCTTCCTCTCTGTCTCCTTTACTGCATCTTCATCCAAGTCATGCCCAATAACTATGGGTGTCCCTCAGGGCTCTCTGTCCTGGGCCCTCTTCTCTTCTCACTCTATGCTACTTCACTTGGAGATCTCATCAGCTCCCGTGGATTTAATGACCATCTTTATGCTGATGATCCTCAGATCTACCTATCCTGCCTTAACCTCTCTGCTGGCCTCCAATCTCACATCTCCATCTGCCTTTCAGACCACTCAAATTCAACACGTTCAAAACTGAACTCATTAGCTTTCCTCCTAAATCCTACCCTCCCCTTACTACCTTCCCTATTACTGTAGAGGTCCACACCATCCTCCCAGTCCCTCAGGCTCACAACCTTGGAGTCATTCAGGATTCCTTACCATCTCTCACCACCCCCTTCCCATATCTAAGCTGTTGCCAAGGCTTATCAATTTCTTCTTTTCAACATCTCTCCAAATGCACCCCCTTCTCTGTTCTGACACTGCCACCACCCTGGTGCTGACTCTCATCGCCTTATGATTAGACTGTTACAAAAGCCTGCTGGTGGGTCTGCCTGCCTCACCTTTCACCACTCCAGTCCACTCTCCATTTAGCTGCCAAAGTGATTTTCCTAAAGTACAGGTCTGACCATGGCATCTTCCTCCTCAATAGACTTCATTGGCTCCCCATTGCCTTCAGGATCAAATATAAAATCCTCTGTTTGCAGTCCAAAGCCCTTCCTAACCTAGCCCACTCACCCCCTTCTAGTCTTCTGATTCATACACTTTGATCTAGTGACACTGACTTTCTTACTGCCCCTTCAACAAAACACTCCAACTTGTAGCTCTGGGGCATTTTTTCTGGCTGTCCTCCATTCCTTGAACATCCTGGATTCCCTGGCTTCCTTCAATTCCTAATTAAAATCTCATCTTCTACCTTTCCTTTGCCCTTCCCAACCCTTCCTAATTCTTGTGCCTTGCCCTTTTAATTACTTCCTATTTATCCTGTATAGAGCCTGTTTGCACATATCTGTTTGCTCATTGTCTCCCCTGTTAGATTGTGAGCTCCTTGAGGGCAGGGACTCTCTTTTGCCTCTTTTTGCATCTCCAGTGCTTAGCACAGTGCCTGGCACATAGTAGGCACTTAATAAATGTTTATTGACTGACTAATTGATTGATCCTCTGAATGCGGTCCAAATTGAAGACAATTTGCTGTTGTCAGTCAGATGTTGAGCAGGAACAGATAAGAGATTAAGGGCTGTCCAGCATTCAGGGACTTGGAGGAGCCAAGAGTATGTCCCCCTGTCCCCTCTGCTCTCCTCTGTGGAGGCAGCTCTCAGGGTAAACACTGCCCTAACCTGACCCTGACCCTGGAACTCCTCTTGGGTCAGCCCTACTAAGCTGGGGCTCCTGGAGGACCCACAGCTAGGGCTTCAGTAGACTTCCCAAGAACTCAACCTTCTGGGCTCCTAGCCAGTGCTGTCCCCCAGGACTCCCTGACTTGGGAACTTCATACGACACTAGGTGTCCCTTTCCCTCCAAAGCACCCCACTCTAGTTTCTGATGCCCTACCCCCGCTTCACTTTTCTCCCCCCACCCCAGCCCTGAGGGGAAGATTCTGGGGCCCTTGTTGCCATCAACCCCTTCCCTTCTACCTTACCAGAGAGCCCCCAAGTCCAATCCTGGGTAAATGGAATATCCTCCTGTCTCCACAAATTCGTGGCCCAGGCCAAGACCTTGTTTTGACCTACAGTCCTGACTTTACCCTTTCTCAGCTACCTCTGGGAGGAATTTCAGAAGAAAGGTAAATGGAGAGTGGACCTTAACCTTCCTTCCAAGGACTGTTACAAAGAATTCTTATACTTGGGGTATGGTAAGAAAGGACAGTGAGACCCCAGGTATAGTCAAAGCAAGAGATGGTTTGGAGCATAGCCTACCTCCCAGAGAGTGACCAAGAGGCCATCTGGGACCAGCCAGCCTGGACAGGGTCAGGGAGAACAGGGGCCTTGACATCCCTTCAGACTATTGATCCATCTTCCTCCTTCCTTCCTTTCCCCTCTCCTCATTGTGTTGTCATTAGAAAAGCAGCTTTTCAGGATATTCTCTTCCCCAAACCAGCCTCTTATGGTGCTTGAGTAGAGATAGAAAGACAGAGACAAAGACAGACAGAGACGGAGAAAAAGCAACCAAGTGATATATGTGTGTGTGTGTGTGTGTGTGTGTATGTATGTATGCATTTTTGTAGATGTATGAATATATGTGTGTATATGTGGCATCTGTGCATCCCTTCACATGTGGACCCCCAAAAAACTCATCATGGGTTCAGGCACTTTCTGCATCAAAACCATAGCTTATGAGCCCCCCACCAGTGTATTTAGTTTTATCAACCAGCCAGAGAACACAGTAATTCTTTTTTTTATTCTTTTTCTTTTTTAACATGCATTTTAAAATTTTGAGTTCTAAATTCTCCCCCTCCTTTCTGTTCCTCCCCTACTCATTGAGAAGGCATATGATACCCATTATACATGAGAAGACAGTAATTTAAAGCAAAATTAAAAGTTATGTGACTCTGGACAAATTCTCTCACCTCCCTAAGTTTCCTCCTCTACAAAATGAAGATAATACATGTACAACCTATTCCATAGGACTGCTATAAGAAAAAGTGCTTTGTAAGGCTCAAAGTGTTACATAAATTGGTATAGTTTATGCTTGTTAGTACCTCTTCTGTGCATATACGTGCCTCTGTGTGTAAATATGTATTGTGTCTGTGTTCTTTGCTCTACATCAGACTGCACTGAAGGGGAGCCTGGGAGTCCCAGATTAGGAAGGAGGAGATGGGATCCTGACCTCAGGGAACCCTGAGTCTGAGCAGATATTGCCCTTCTAGAGGCAGTTAAATGGTCTTGTGGATAGCGTGCCTGACTTGGAATCAGAAATACCTGAGTTCAAACCCTGCCTCAGACACTTATTAATTTTGAGACCCTGGGCAAGTCATGTAACCTTCCTCAGTTTCCTCATATGTATAATTGGAATAATAATAACACCTATCTCCCAGGGTTGCTGAGAGGTTAAAATGAGATTACAATGGTAAAGTGTTTAGCAAACTTTAAAGCATTAGCTAAATGCTGATTATTATCTTAGCTTGAAGAGAGTAGAGGTACTTCAAACTTGGGGCTCCCTGAGGCCAGGACTAATGCCTTCTTTGAGATAAGAGGAGAAAGTAAATTAGCATTCACATCACGCCTACTATGTGCTAAACACTATGCTAAGCACTTTCTACAAATATTATCTTATTTGATCCTTGCAACAACCCTGGGAAGTAGGTGCTATTATTATACCCACTTTACAGTTGAGGAAACTGAGGCAGACAGGGGCTAAATGACTTGCCCAGGATCATATAGCTAGTAAGTGTCTAAGTGCACATTTGAACTCAAGTCTTCCTTACTCCAGATGGCTCTCTCTCCACTGTGTCGCCTAACTGCCTGAAGGAAGACGCTGTGGTCATTTCCCCCCTTTAGGGTAGAAGAGATAATACCTCTTCCTTGGATGGGGGGGTGGGGGATGGGGTGGCCAGGATCCTGGAGGAAAGGGCTATGTTTCCATTTCAGAAGAGCAGGGTTATATCTACTACTATACTGGGGTTCCCTGAGGGCACAGTCTTGCTCCTCCCTCTGCTGAGAGTTTCCCATGGGAATGATTGTGCCCTGTCCTCCCTCTGTCTTCCCAGCAGCACCCAGGAGGGCTCTGTAGCCAGTGAGTTACTTTCTCTCCCTTTCTCTGCAGCCTAAACCCCAAAATGCCATCACCATTGCTGTGTCGTCGAGGGCCCTCTTCCGAATGGAGGAGGAGCAGCGCATCTACAAGGAGAAGGGAGTGGAGGAGTATGTTCGGTACCAGCTAGAGCACGAAAATGAACCACTCAGCCCGGGGCCTGCTTTCCCCTTTGTGAGGGTAAGTGTGGATAAGTCCAGCTCATTCCTCCCTTCTCCCATCTTTGCCCAGCCTGACAATGTAGTCCCACAATGTAGATTGGCAGGAAGGGTTAATTCTTAGGATCCTAGAATTTAGAGCTGGAAGGATCCTAGAGATCATCTCGTCCAATGCGGTCATTTTACAAAGGAGGAAACTGAGGCCTATCTGTGCAACCAACATTTATTAATCACCTACTGTGTGCAAAGCCTTGTGCTAGGCACTGGAGATAAAAAAAAATTAAATAAGATAGGATACTTGCCCTCATAGAGTGCAAAGTCTAATGAAAGACAATGGATAATGAAACACATCCTTTCATTGCTTCATGATGAGTGAGTCAACTCTATAGATCATCTATGGGCAAATAGCCTAACCCCTTTATGCTGTCTACTGGACAGCTTTCATGAATTACTATTGCCAAAAGATGAATCACCTTGCAGGCAGCCCACAGGTGTAGGTGGGACATCCTTCCATTGAGCTAGACTGGTTCTTGGGTGGCAGATCCAGTCTCTCATTGGATCAGTACTCAAAGCCTTTCCATCTTGGTGGCACCTACAAGAGCTTGTGCTTTGAGAGGCCAGAGGCAGCTCCGTACTATGACAAGATAGCAGAGGAGGAAGTCAGTGGAAGGTTATTTCAATGCATAATATCACATGATGTATCCATTAGAGAGATGCCAAATATGTTGTGAGGTTCCAGGTCATTCAATCCAAGGTGAGGTGAAAGAGGCCTTCTTGGAAAAGGTGGCATTTGAATTGAACTTTAAATGATGATTGGGGGGGCAGCTGGGTGGCACAGTGGATAGAGCACTGGCCCTAGAGTCAGGAGGACCTGATTTCAAATCTGACCTCGGACACTTGACACTTACTAGCTGTGTGACCCTGGACAAGTCACTTAGCCCCACTGCCTAGGAAAAAAACCCAAAAAACAAAACAAAGCCAAAAAAAAAAAAGATGGTTGGAATTTAAAAGGCAAAGAGGAATAGGGAAGGCATTCTATAGCTATGGGCAGCTAGGTGGCACAAGGGATGGGGTGCTGGGCCTGGAGTCAAGAAGACCAAACAACTAAAGGCCTAAACAACAAAAGAAATCTGTGGATAAGGGACAGCTTGCGGGAAGGCACACAAGGCTGCATGTGTGGAGGATACAAAGGGAATTCCAGTCTGATTTGAACACCGAGCAGCCAAAGGAACCTCTAAGTCAGTGGTGTGCTGAGAAACGTCTAACAACCAACTCTCTGAGGGAAAACTGCGTACTTGGCACACTCCAAAGCTTAATCTGCATTAGTATTAACAATTTCTCCATCAATTCCTTAGGGCCAGACAATCAACAAAACAACACATTGAGCCCAACTCAGTAGTGTTGCCGGTTCCCTAGGTATACACACTCACACTGAAGATTTCATAACTGGCTCTCAGAAGCCAGTATCAGCTACCTCCAACGCTCCCCCCACTCCTGCCCCTGCCAAACTCCATTTAGCCCCTTCTATGATATCGTGGGCAGACCTCGTTAGAGAGACCACCCACAAATCAGAGCACTGAAATATGACACCATCAGCAAGCGGCCACCCAGCCTTGGCTTGAAGACCTCTTGCCCACTCCTAGGACCATTCATAATAAGAGCTATCATTCATACGGAGCTTTAAGGTTTGCAAAGTGCTTCACAAATATTATCACATTTGAGTCTTACAATAATCCTGGGAGGTAGGTATTATTATGTCCCCCATTTTACAGAAGAGGAAGCTGAAGTTAAATGACCTGCCCAGAGTCACCCAGCTAGTAAGTGTCTGAGGCTGAGATTTGAACTCAGGTTTTCCTGACTAGGGGCAGCTAGGTGGCTCAGTGGATAGAGAACTGGGCATGGAATTAGGAAGACTCATCTTCCTGAGTTCAAATCTGGCCTGAGATACTTACTAGCTGGGTCACTTCACCCTATTTGCCTCAGTTTCCTCATCTGTAAAATGAGAAGGAAATGGCAAACCACTCCAGTATCTTTGTCAAGAAAACCCCCAAAGGGGTCACAAAGAGTCAGACATGGCTGAAAAATAACTGAACAACTTCCTGATTCCAGGTCCAGTTTCTTCTGTGCCACCTAGTAACTGTATCCATCCACTGTATCCATCTGGGAACTCTATTAGCTAGCATGGTTTTCCTTTCATCAAGTCTAAATCTTACTCTCTGAAAATCCCCTCATTTCTTCTAGTTCTGCCCTCTGTGACCAAGCAGAAGAAGCCTTCTACAGCACCCTCCACATATCCAAAGACAGTAATCACATCACCGCTAAGTCATCCCTAGTTTCTTCCACACATCCTCTTATGGTGTAGTCCCCAAACTTCTTACCTTCCTGGTTGTCCTCTTGTAGATACAATCCTGCTTTTTTATGTACTTCCTAAAATGTGGCACTCAATCCTGAGCCCAACATTTTAACCTTGTTTCTTCTACAGAGAATAATAATGATCATAATAAATGTACTCTCTGTGCCTCCATCCAAGCCACCAATAAAGATGGAAGAGCACTGAATTTGGCATCAGCAGATAAGAGTTTAAATCTTGGCTTGGCTACTTACCATTTGTATAACTGGGAAAATAATTTCCTTTCTCTGGGTCTCAGTTCCCTGTTCTAGAAAATGAGATGATTGGACTAGATAGATAATTCTCCAGTGTCTGTTCAACAAATGTTTATTAAATGCTTAGTGTGAAGAGCCCTGTGTGGGGTTTTGGGAAGAGATACTGGTGTAGCTAAGACATAAACCCTGCCCTCAGGGAGCTCACGCTGTAGCAGGAGCATAAAACACAAACACAGGTAACCATAATGCCCACGATTACATGATAAGTGCATTGGAGAGACACCAAAAAAGTGTGAGATTGGAAGGACAAAGTTGTGGGGAGGTGGGGAGGGACAGAGGTTAGGGAAGGCTTCACAGAGCGTTCATTTTATGATGCCCACAGGACACAGAGAGGGAGGGATGCGGAGGGATCTTCTGATACTCCTTACCCAGGGGGATACTCCTTACCAAGACTTCCTGTGTGACCTTGGACATGACATTTTGCTTATTCCCTCTAGATCTCTGGTTTTCTTTTTGTGCAATAGGAAGGATGCTGCTCTCCTAGAATCCCATGTGGGAGGCCCTGGGAGACCAGCTAAGGAAATCTCACAAGACACTTCTGTAACCTAACAAGTACCTCACAGGGGGAATAAAGTCGAGAACAGATAGAGGAAGCAATGCATTCCAATTTTAGAGTTTAGACCTTGGGAAAATTCACAGCAAAAACTGGTCTGGACTAGGTAATGGAGGAAGGTTATGGAGGCACTTTCAGGACAGAATAAGCAGATTGGGTTTTGTTTGGAAGGGTTTGGGGGGGAAGGGTCAGTTGTGGGGTGCCACTTGCTGTGGGAAAGCTCACAGGCCTAGGATTTGAGTGATTCTCCCTAGTGTGACTAGAGTGGGATCTGGAGGTTAGGGAGCAGCTGGGATGACCCTGTGTTTATTATCACCTTAGTGGGAAGGTTTATTCCCTCTTCTGTGGAATATGAAATAAGCTGAGTAGCTCCTTGAGGTGCAAGGAGGCTCTATGGGTTCGGCTACATGCTCTCCCTCTCCCTGCCCAGGCTCTGGAGGCTGTGAACAGCCGGCTTCGGGAGCTGTATCCTGACAGTGAGGACCTTTTCGACATCGTTCTCATGACCAACAACCATGCCCAGGTTGGGGTCCGGCTAATCAACAGCATCAACCACTACAGTAAGTATGGGGGAGGAAATGTAGTCAGGACAAGAGACCCCCCCACAAACCATCCCGTGCAGAAAGCATGAATGGAGCCCCTGCTGTGCTCTAGGAGCTACGCCAGGCACAGAGATACAAACACAGAGTGAAAAACAATTCCTGTCTCCCTTCTGCTCCAGGATGTGGGAGAAGAGGGAACACACAACAAAACCAAGTATGTACAGGATAATTTGAGGAGAAAGGACAGAGCAAGAATAATCAAAAGGGATTGTGGAAGGTTTTCCATAGCAGATGGTACATGATCTGAGCCTTGGAGGAAGTTAAGGATTCTAAGAGGCCAGATGGGAGGAGGAAGTTTATTCCAGGTATGCAAAGGCATGGAGGTGGGAGATTAGGGACTGAGTTCAATGAATAGCAAATAAGTTAGTTTGGTTGGACCATAGAAGTGGAGTGGTACATCTGAAAAGGTGGACTTGAGCCGGACTGTGAGAAGTTTTAAATACCAACCTTAGGCCACCTTAAGTATGTTCCAGAAAAAAATTGGGAACCACTAATATTTCTTGAGTAAAGGGAGTGACATTGTCAAACCTGTGCTTTTAGGAAGATTGTTTTGACAGCTATGTGGAGAATGGATTAGAGGGGAACTGGAAAATGGAAGTCCAATTAGTAGGCAGTTGCAATAGTTCAGGGAACAGGTGATGAGGGTCTGAACAAGGGTAGTGGCCATATTAATATAAGAAGGGGATGAATATGATGAGAAGTGATGTAGGGATAGAAGCAAAAAGAATTAGCAACTGATTGACCATGGGAACTGAGAGAGAGGGAAGAGTTGAGATGACTCTGAAATTGTGAACCTGGGTGTGTGGAAAATTAATGGTGCCCTTGACAGAGATAGGGAAGCTTAGAGAAGGATCCCAATGTGTGTTATGTGTGTGCCTGCACATGTATGGAAGATAATGAGATTTGCTCTGGAAATACTGAGTTTGAGATGACATCCAGAGACATCTAGGAAGAAAAGACCAGTGGGCTTTCAGGGATAAAATAGGTGATAACAGGCTTTTTGGTGATGCCCAGAAGAAAGGTTGTATCTGTAGATTGAGAAGTCATCTGTATAGAGGTGATCATTGAACCCATGGGATGAGATCTCTAAGTTAGACAGAATGTTGAGAAAGTAAAAAAGGGACATTAGAGTAGGGTTTGAGAGAATTAGGGTAAGGGTTATATTCTGTTCAAGGAAACAGAATGATGGGGTACTCGCACTGTTAGGAGTCAAGGCTCTTTTCTCTAGATTTGCTCTACAAATATAGAATAATGGGATCTGGAAGGGATCTTTGAATAAACTGTAGAACACAGAACATTAGAGAGGTAAAGGACCATAGCACACAGAACTGGGAAGGATGTCAGAATATCAATGATGCTGTCCAAAGCTGGTCCCAGAATGTAAACATTCTCCCCGTCAGATGCTGAATGGCCCTTTATTGAAGATATTATAAAGAGGAACTTCACTCAGGTCCCTGAAGACCCTTCCAAATCTGTGATTTGCCAATTCTGTGACCTGAGAATGTGGAATGTCACTCCCCGGTAGAAGTGACCTGAGATTGTAGAAGATGGAAGGTTTAGACTGTAGCAGAACAGGATACAAGTGCCAGACTTGTATTCAAGAGAGCCTTGTTGGGTCTGAGTCCAACGCTGACACTTACTAGCTGTGTAATCATGGGCAAGTCACGCACTCTCCCAGGACCTCACTTTCTTCATCTGTAGAATGGGGATTATCATCCTTATGCTGTCTACCTCAAAGGATTGTCATGAGAAAAGCACACTGCAAACCTGGAAGTACCGTATGAATGTGACTTGTTCTTACTGATGTTGTTAATATTAGACCTAGAAGGCCCCTACATCATAGAAGGCCAGAACTGGGAAGGATCTCAGAACTTAGAAGGTTAGAGCTAGAAGGGTCCTTAAAACATAGAATGTCAGATCTAGGAGGGGTCTTATAACATGTAATACTAATGATGATAATCTTTCTGGGGCTTAGTTTTCTCCTCTGTAAAATGGGGATAATCATGTCTCATAACATAGTGGGGAAGAAAAAAACTTTAAAAGTCTTAAAGAGGGGCAACTAGGTGGTGCAGTGGATAGAGCACTAGCCCTGGAGTCAGGAGGACCTGAGTTCAAATTCAGCCTCAGACACTTACTAGCTGTGTGACCCTGGGCAGATCACTTAATCCCATTGCCTTAAAAAAAATGTCTTAAAGAGACATCATGACTGTGAAGAGTACTAGACTCAGAGTCAGAAAGGACTGGGTTCAAATCTTGTCTCTGACATTTATTCTCTGGGTGACCCTGAGCAAGTCATTTAAGCTCTCACAGCCTCAGTTTCCTCATCTGTACAATGAGGATAATGGTAGCATCCACCTTATAGGGAGATGAAATCTATAAAGGGCTTTGTAAACTTTAAAGCATTTCTATAAATGTGAGTTACTGTTGTTAAAACCCCAGAAGTGGGAGTTAAATGACCTGCCTATGGCCATCTATGGCTTCCAGTGACAATGACCTTGACAGAACAAGATAAATAAGGTCCTGGAGCCCGTCATATTAGCATGACCCCACCCATCTCCCACAGTGCTCTCAGGAGGGTAATAGGACATCATTATATGGTTACACATGGTAATACTCTGTAACTGCATGCAATTCCCCCAAAGTGCCCTGGGGTCATTTCAAAGCCTTACCCTGCAAGGACAAGGGGGCAGTCTGATCTTTACACATTTGTCAGTTTGGGCCCAACCCTTTTCCCCAAAGCCTCATCCAATAATAATAGCAGCTCATGTTTTGTAAACTTTTATTCATGTTTACAAAGCACTTTCAATCTATTATCACATTTGATCATTGTGATATCCCTATGAGGTTGGCACCCCATTTTATTGAAGAAGAAACTGAAGCCCACAGAAGGTCAATGACTTATCCAAGATCATACTAGTAAGCTTGTTTAGACTTGTCTAGATTATCTAACCTCAGGGTCTAGATTTGAACATAAATCTTTTTTCTGTATCCTTACCACTACACCATGCTGCCTCCTAGAAGGAGAGGCCATCAGGAGAAAGGTGGTATTTACCCAACATGGGTCACTTATTGGGCATCTTCTATATGTGGAACCTCTGTGCTAGCCTTTCTTTCCTCCCTCTACCCAACAGGATACCCTGCACCAAATAGCCCATGGACAATGGAGCCAAGATGGTGGCACCTACCCATTAGATTTGGTCATGAGGTCCTGAAATTTGACCATGACTTTATTTTATGACCAGGTGGGGCTGATTAGGCCTGCTTGATGCTAACTAGCTTGGCCTCAGTTTCCCTTCTAACCCTTTTCCCTAGACCTGTTCATTGAGAGGTTCTGCATGACTGGGGGAAACAGCCCAATCTGCTACCTGAAGGCCTACCACACCAACCTCTACCTGTCCTCTGATGCAGAGAAAGTGAGTGAAGCCATTGGAGAGGGTGAGTCTGGGGCAGGGAAGGGGATGGGCCAGGGGTGCCAGGAAGTCTCAGGAGAATAGAGAAAACCCTGGACAGAGACTGCTGAGGGAGGGTCCTGCACAATACAGAGCCTGGTGTTGTGTTCTTGGTTACCATGATGACCGAGGTGGGGAGGGTACTCTCTGGGATGTGGGGCTGAAACGGAGTTTTCCAATAATACCAACAGTTACTCCTGTTTATACAGGGTGTCCCAAAAGTCTTGGGGATACTATGTATACTTTTTTTTCTTCAGTCATTTCTAGTAGTGTCCAACTCTTCATGACCCCATTTGGGGTTTTCTTGGCAGAGATACTGAAGTGGTCTGTCATTTCCTTTCTCCAGCTTATTTAACAGATGAGAAAAGTGAGGCAAACAGGGTTAAGTGACTTGCCCAGGGTCACACAGCTAGTAAGTATATGAGGAGATTTGAACTCAGATCTTCCTGACTCCAGGCCAAGCTCTCTATTCGTTGCACCACCTAGCTGCCCCCATGGATATCTTTTTACTACTTACAAATACTCTTCTCATAATATCTCTGAGAGGTAGGTCATACAAGTGTTATTAGTCTCATTTTAAAGACGAGAGAACTAAGGTTCATTGAGGGAAGTAATTTCCCCCAGGCTTTGTGATGGAGTCACACAACTAATGAGTGTCAAAGTCACAACTTGAACCCAGGTCATTCTGGGTTCTCTGTGGATTTGTTCTTACTGTATTTAGATGGATAAGATCCCAGGAAGTGGAGCTTCTGGTTTCCATGGAAACCCAAAGCATGGTATAGACTAGTGTGCATAAATCCCCTGCAGTCATCTCCCCCATCCCCCAATCTCAGCAGGAGCTGGAGCCCCCTGGGGATGGCACAGAATCTCTCAGCTATGCCTGAGGAACTAGACACCAGAAAGTTCTAGAAGGGATAATGTCAGTGCTTGCATCACATTGCAGGAGGGACACTGGTAAATGGAATATGGCCAAAGGAGCACAAACAGGGTGGGGATATTCCTGGAAATAAACTTGCTGAGGTGACCTGGACCTAGCTCCTTCCCAGTAGGAGCCTCAGTTTCCCTGTCTGAAAAAAAAGTTCCCTTATGATTCTGACATTCTCCATGTACTTTTCCAGTTCTATGTTCTCAGGACCCCTTTAGCTCTAATGTTCTTTGTTCTGAGCTCCCTTCTAGTTAAGCCAATTCTCTAGGGTCCCTCCTACCACTGATACTCTGGGTGCTAAGATTCCTGCCATCTCAGACATTCCTTATTCTATGGGCCCTCCATCTTTAATATCCTCTGTTCTAAAGCCCCCAATTCTAGTGACCTTTCCAGCTCTGACATTCTGGCATTCTGTGAGTCTGGGCTCTGTTCTGCCCGGGTGATAAGACTGACTCTCCTCTGCCTCTCTGTTAATAGCACTGAGCCTGGGCTAGGGCTGGGAGCCCTCAGGGTCTGGCCACAGGACCAGGAGTCCTTCCAGAGACTCCATCTCGTGGGGAAGGATAGCTCAGGGATCCCAATACATGCTCCCCTCCCCCACCCATTCCTCAGCATGGCCCAAATATGAACTGTCCAGAGTGAGAGAGACATATGTCAGGCAAGCCCTTGCTTCATTGCCCCAAGATTCTGAGAACAGTGGGGGCTGGGCTGTGAGAAACTTTGGCCAGAGCCATCTGGAGAGCTGGACACCCACAGCTTGTCTACAGCGTAGAGACCATCAGGATCCTGTTGAGGGGAACCCTCCTTTCCTGGGATCACTTGGTCACTCATGGCTCTCAGTAGTTTATTTGGGACAGCTCCCAATTAGGACAGTGGGGGCGGGGGAAGGAGGAGGAACACACACACACACACACACACACACACACACACACACACCACCATCTGGGCTGGAACAGGCAAGGGAGAAGGGAAATTTCCCCTCCGTTCTCAGGTTTTTTAGGGCAGGACAGACCTGGCATTCTGAAGGGCAGAGGACACATTCAGCCTTCACAAGTGGTTGGATGCAGGCTGGCTGCAATCATACTGAGTGGTTGTGGCACCAGAGGGCTCCAATAGAGGATGCCCCTCAGCTCCCCACCCCACTATTCCTAGTCCATGGCCACCCTTCAAGGCATAGATTGGGTATCTCCTCTTGGAACTGAGAAATTAGATCATGACCTTAGACTCATGGCACGTCAGAGCTATAATAGACCTCAGAGGCCAGCCAAACCAAGGATTGTCAACCTTTTATTATGTTCTGGACTCCTTAGGCAAAGGTGAAGCCTATGGACCCCTTCTCAGAATCATGTTTTTAAATGCACAAAATGAAATACATAAGATTATTGAGGAAACCAATTATGTTGAAATACAGTCATCAAAATATTAACAACAACAGGTTCACAGATCGGAGGTTAAGAACTCCTGGTTTAGTCCAATCTTTTAATTTTATATAATAGGAAACAGGCTCAGAGAGAGTGAGTTATTTATATACATAGGATCATAGGGAGGCCGCTTTCTTATTTTACAAAGTTGAAAACTGAAGCCCAGGGAAGTTAAGTGAATTGCCCAAGGTCATACAGGTAGTAAGTATCAGAGGTGACATTTGAATCCACATCCTCTGACTCCAGAAACTGGTCTCTTTCTGCTGTGCCAGTGAGGGACCAGGGCTAGAATTCTGGCTTCTTGATTCACATCCCAGCATGCCTTCTGCCTCTCCAGGTGATTAGCAGAGATGTCTAAAAGTCCAAGTATGGGAAGACCAGGTCCCAAGCCTAGAGGGGGATTGGTCCCATACCTCTTCTTTGTTTCTTCCCAAAGGGATTGCAGCTGCCACTGTCTTCAGCCCCAGCAAGGATGTGGCAGTGCCCCAGAGCCAGCTTCGTGTGGCATTTGACGGAGATGCTGTTCTCTTTTCTGATGAGTCTGAGCAGATTGTGAAGGCCCACGGGCTTGACATGTTCTTTGAGCATGAGAAGACATATGAGAACAAGCCCCTGGCTCAGGTATATGCCTGAACTCACCAAGCACTCTCATCTCCACATTGAGCCCCTATCCTTACACTGAGCCCCCATCCATGATCTATCATCTCCGTCACTGAGCCCACTCCATCCCTACACTGATCCCCCATCCCCATCACTGAGTCCCTATCCTCATACTGAGTCCCCATGCCCATCGCTGATCTCTCCTCCCCATCCCTGAGCCTCTGTCCTTACACTGAGCCTCCATCCATGATCTATCATCCCCATCACTGAGCCCCCTCCATCCCTACACTGAGTCTCCATTCCCATCACTGAGTCCCCATCCCCATCACCAAGCCTCCTCAGTCCCTACACTAAGCCCCCATCCCCATCATTGATCTATCATCTTCATTAGTGAGCCTCTATCATTGAGCCCTTATCCTTACACTGAGCCCCCATCCCCATCACTGAGTCCCTATCCTTACACTGAGCCCCCAGCCCCATTACTGAGCCCCTATCCTTACACTGAGCCCCCATCCCCATCTCTGAGCCCCTATCCTTATACTGAGTCCCCATCCCCATCACTGCTCTCTCATCCTTATCACTGAACCTCTATCACTGAGCCCCTATCCTTACACTGAGCCCCCATCCCCATTGCTGATCTCCCCTCCCTATCACTGAGACACTCCATCCCTACACTGAACTCCCATCCCCATCACTGAGTCCCAATCCTTATACTGAGTCCCCATGCCCATCACTGATCTCTCCTCCCCATCCCTAAGCCTCTGTCCTTACACTGAGCCTCCATCCATGATCTATCATCCCCATCACTGAGCCCCCTCCATCCCTACACTGAGTCCCCATCCCCATCACCAAGCTTCCTCAATCCTTACACTGAGCCCCCATCCCCATCATTGATCTATCATCTTCATTAGTGAGCCTCTATCATTGAGCCCTTATCCTTACACTGAGCGCCCATCCCCATCACTGAGTCCCTATCCTTACACTGAGCCCCCAACCCCATCACTGAGCCCCTATCCTTACACTGAGCCCCCATCCCCATCACTGATCTCCCCTCCCTATCACTGCGACCCTCCATCCCTACATTGAACTCTCATGCCCATCACTGAGCCCCCATCCCTACAACGAGACCCATCCCTGGTATTGAGTCCTCTCCCCATACTGAGACCCTTTCCCCTCACAGGGCAATGGGAGGATCATTGAGGCTTTAACCTGCCCATGTCAGGTAAAAGATGGAGCCACCTCCACATTCTCCCCACAGGGCCCCCTAAAGGGTTTCTTAGAGGCGCTGGGGAGACTGCAGAAGAAGTTTTACTCCAAAGGCCTGAGGATGGAGTGCCCGATCCGCACCTACTTGGTAACAGCACGTAGCGCTGCGAGCTCAGGGGCTCGTGCCCTGAAAACCCTCCGCAGTTGGGGCCTGGAGACAGATGAGGCCCTGTTCCTGGCCGGAGCCCCCAAAGGTCCGCTGCTTGAAAAGATTCGTCCACATATCTTCTTTGATGACCAGATGTTCCATGTGACTGGGGCACAGGAAATGGGCACTGTGGCTGCCCACGTCCCCTATGGCGTGGCCCAGGCACCCCGGCGGACAGCACCTGAGAAGCAGGCCCCCCCAGCAGCCCAATAGTCCTCCTGGCCATGCCAGCAGTGGGGCTTTCTGAAAAAGGCAGAGCAGAAGAGTGGGAAGGATGCTGGCCTCCAAAGAATTGGGTGTGACTGGAGGCTGGATCCTCTTCTCTGAGTCTCGGATTTCTCATCTGCAAAATGGAGTTAATGACTAAGCCTGCCTCACAGGTCATTGTGAGGAAAGCTCTTTGTATACTATCAAAATGGGAGCTATCAATGTTATTGACATTCAGAGCTACCCTGGCTCCACTCACCCAGCCCTCATGATTCCATCTTGTACACAGGGAACGCAGGTCCCACCTGCTGCCTCCCATCCCACAGTGCCTGTCTCATTCCCTTGACGTCCCTTAGCCGACTCCCCTGCTGCACAATCTAACCCAAGTGTCTGTCCTGGGCATGAAGCCAGAATGAGCATAAAGACCCAGCTGTTCCTGGCTGGACAGAAGGCAGGGCCAATTCCATGCCCAAATCCCGAACCAAGGAGAGGCGATCTCTCAGCTGGATCCCATTGAAGAGTAGATGGGATCAGGAGGGAGCAGGCAGGGCAGTGTCTCTCCCCAGAATGAGCTTGGGATCTGGGATCTGAGAACCTGGACTGCAGTTTGGGTTCTGCCGCTTACTACCTACTTGACCTTGACAGAGTAATTTCCCCTCCCCTGGCTTTAGTTTCTTGATTCATAAAATGAGGAGGGGAGGGCTCAGGGGAAGGTGGAAGGTTTCCCAGGATCATATGCTCTTCCAGATACAAGGAACCTGTAAGCTTATCCATTCCCACCTTCTCATTTAACACAGTCCCCAAGAGTGACTTGCCCATATTTACTCACCTGGAAAGTGGTGGAACCAGAATTTAAACCCAGGTCATCAGGCTTCAAGTCCAAAGCTCTTTCCATGATACTTAGAAATCAGTTGCTCCGCCATAAAACAGTGCTCAGACCAGTTTTAGTCCACATCCATTTTTTCCCAGTTTAGGAAGCTTTTGTTATCAAAAGACCTCAAAATCTATGAAGTTTAAACACACACACACACACACACACACACACACACACACACACACACAAAAAATTTCCCCTTCTCTTCTCATCATCCTACTCTTCCCATTTCTAACTCCCTCCTTCCCAACTCCCAGTTGTAGGGTAGTAGGAAGAATGGGGTACCCTGGTGCATGGAGGCAGATTCTCAGGCAGGCTCAGGGTGCCTCTGAGGTCCCTTCCGGCTCTGTACATTCTGTGGTTGGGGTGAAGGTGCAGGAGACTTTCCCTGAGGATGTTAGCACAGTGCCGCTGCTGTTGCTTGTCCTTCGTTCTCAAAGAGGACCATGACATCAGGAAGGTGGTGGCACGACTTGCAAGTGAACTGGATTTAAGTGAGGGAGGTTGTACAAAGTCACCAGCCTCACTTTCTCCTCCAGAGCCATCTGGGTCCAGTGTTGAGATATAGATCAGGAAGACTGGAGATGGCCCCTGGGGGTTATAGTGAGGTGTTGGGTGGAGTTGGTGGAGCTGGAAGGGAAAGCTAATGGGAACAGAGCCGCCTCATAAGTGTCGGTAAGCAGACTGTATAATAAGAGTAAGTATGGTAAATGTAGACAGGCCTTTGCTACATCAAAAGGTCCCTTTCAGCTTTCCCTGTCTATGTACTTGGAGCCTGACCAGTCCTGACATTCTATGTTCTCACATTCTGTTTACTCAAGTCTTTTCACGCTCTATTTCTGTGACTCTAGGTGTAACCTAAAATATTGTATCTATGGACTCAGCCAGGCTACCGGGGCACCCGTGGGCTGGGAAGAGAAAAGCAGAAACAAGCAAACACCTAGTAACACACGACAAAGCAGAGCCAGGCTTGTTCCAACAGAAACCACAGCAACAGATGGCCATGCATTCTGATTGATGACTATGATTTAATTATTGGCTTTGAGCAAAAAAGAGTAAGAGACTGAGAGTGAGAGAGAGAGAGAGAGAGAGAGAGAGAGAGAGAGAGAGAGAGAGAGAGAATGGGAGAGAGATGAACAGAATAACACATAAAAGGAATCTGGATGCTGAGATAACAGAGTTAGGCGATATTACAGGTGGCTCTGGCATTTAGATAGGGAAGGCAGAAAGTGGGAACTGTGACTGCCGAAAACAAATCAACAAAACAACATTTATGAAGTACCTACTATACACCAGAAGCAGTGCTAGGGGCTGGGTATACAAAGAAAGGCAAAAACAAAGTCTTTCACCTGGAGAATACTTTGTTCTGATTGGGGAGACATTTAATTGTGTAGGAAAAAATAAGATCTATTGAGGATAATTTCAGAGGAAAGGCACCAACATTAAGGGGGAGCAGGAAAGGATTCTTGTAGGGGCACAATGTTGTGGTGGTGGTGGTTGTTTTGCTTTTTGGTGAGGCAATCAGGGTCAAGTCACTTGCCCAGGATCATGTGGTGTCAAGTGTCTGAGGCCAGAAACAGGAGCCTTCTAATGCAAATGAAACTGATTGCTGGACTAGCGTCTATATATATATATATTTTGTGAGGCAGTTGCCCCAGTCACATAGCTAGTAAGTGTTATGTGTTTGAGGCTAGATTTGAAGTCAGGTCTTCCTGACTCCAGAGCTGGTGCTCTATGCACAGAGTCACCTAGCTGCCCCTTTGTTCCTTCATTCTCAAAGAGGACCGTGACATCAGGAAGGTGAGGCCATGACGTACAAGCGAATTGTTTTTAAGTGAGGGAGAGCCATGCAAAGTCACCAGTCTCACTTTCTCCTCTGGAGCCAGCTGAGTCCAGTGGCAAGATAGAGATCAGGATGACTGAAGGTGGCCCTGGGTGCAGTGGGAGATCTTGGCCTTTTTAAGCTAAGGTCTTTCCCAGGTCTCAGTTTGACTGAGGCAGTGCCCACTCAGTGATTAATCTGGGTAAAAAATGAGGCAGAGAGCCAGAAAATTGGGTGGGATTTTAAATGAGACTTGAAAGAAGCCGGGGAAGCCAGGAGGTGGAGATGAGGAGGAGGAGAATTTCAGGTAGGGGGACACCCAATGAAAATGCCTGGAGGCAAGAGATGGAGTATGTCCTGTGCTGAGCAGCAAGGAAGCCAGTCACTGAATTGTAGAGGGTACACAGAAGAGAATATGGTGTAAAATGACTGGAAAGGTAGCTATAAAGAGCTTTGAAAGTCAAACAGAGGATTTTATATTTGATCATAAAGGCAGTTTGGGTGCCAACTGTGATTTATTGAATAGAGGAATAATGTAGCAGCTCAGTGGTATAGTAGATAGAGTATTGGGCCTGGAGTCAAGAGAAACTGAGTTCAAATTTGACCTCAGACACAACTAGCTGTGTAATTCTGAAAAGTCAGCTAACCTCAGTTTTCTTAATTGTAAAATGAGAATAATAATAATGTCTACCTCTCAGGGTTGTTGAAAGGATCAAATGAGATAATATTTGTAAAGCTCTTAGCCCAGTGCCTGATACACAGTAGGTACCATATAAATGCTTATTTCTTACCTCACCTTTGCTTTAAGAAAGTCATTTTGACAGTTGAAAGGAGGATGGATTGGAGTGGGGAGAGACTTGAGGTGGGCAGACCCACCAGCAGGCTATTGCAATAGTTCAGGCATGAGATGGCGGGAGTCTGCCCCAGGGGGATGGCAGTGTCAGAAAAGAGATGGGGGCATACACAAGAGATGGTTTGAAGGTAGAAGTGAAATTTCAGAAATTCTGGACCACTTTGGTCTGAAGGAATCTAGGAGGTGAGAACTCTCCTGAAAATGAGCTGCTTAAAGAGGATGAAAGCCTTGAAATCCCTGCCAAAGAATCAATCAAAAGACAATTAGAAGACAATTATGTATGAACCATAATGATGCCAGATAGAGCTGTAGCTGTGGGAGTTTGCACAGGCACTTCTGAGAGCTGGAAGTGATCAGAAGGAGGCTGAGCCAATGAGCCATCGGGCTGGAAGGCAGGAATTGCTGTCAATAACCCTGATGAAACCAGCAACCTTTCTCCCAGGCTGAGGCTACATCAAGGTAACAGATAAAAGCAGAGTCCCCAGACTTCTCATTACCTACACTGGTTCTTGGACCATGACTGCAGAATTGAGACAACTGACAGGCAGTTGGAAGCTCCTAGTGGCATCACAGTACAGTTCCAGAGAAGGAGGAGGAGTAAGGCAAGGTCTTTGGTCCAGTGAGCTAGCATGGTCTAGGTGGTCTGAGTCTGAAGGTAAGGGCAGTGAACTAAAAAAAAAAAAAAGTATTGTATCTGTCAGAAGACCTGGATTCAAATCCTAACTTTGGTACTTCCCAGCCATGTGACTATAAGTCAATTTTTTCATCTGTGAAATGGGTATAGTGATATTTATACTAACCACCTCACAAGGTTGTTGGTAGAGAAAGAGCTTTATAAACCTTCAAAAGCTATATAATTATGAGTGGTGTAGTGGAAAAAATGGTAGACAGAGAAATGGTAGACAGAGGACTCGGGGTTAAATCCCATCACTGCCCCTCACTGGCTATGTGAGCTTGGGTAAGACAATTAACTTCTCTGTTCTTTTATTTCTTCATGAAAAATGAGATCAAGGCTTCCCAGAGTTTTTGGTTTCTCGAACTCTTTCTAACAACAACAAAAAAAAAAGTGTTGTAAATTCCCAAGCTAATTTAAAACACTATTCATAATGTTATTTCAGATTTATTCATGAAGAGCTAAAATAACTATAATGATAACTTTTGCTCCCCAAAATCTCTAAATTAAAATTTATATTATACGATTGTAATTATAAAATTTTATTCTACTTATAATTATGAAAACTCTAAATATAACATTATGAAACTATAATCATAAAGTAATTATGGAAATATTATGTAGGATGTTCTGTAAAAATTTTAAAAAGTAATCCAGCGAGACCTCATATGCTTACTCTTAGCTACAAGATTTAATATTAAATAAATTTCTTTATTTTACAAATTTTGTTGAATATAACATTTTTAATGAAATAAGCTGTGACTTAGAAGATGTTGAGCATAATGTATTAATCATATATAAACTATGTTTCAGTGTTGGATTTGTTTATTTGAACAAGGTTTGCAATATTGGACTCGATAGCAGCTAAATACAGACAGACTCTAAGTGATTGTCCAGTGTTGCCAACCATTTCATGCGAAAGTCCTCCAGGGCCTCACATCTGTGGAATTCTCTGCCTTCTTTGGTTCTTGCTTTTTAGACCATAATATAAAACTGACCTTTGTAAAATGACCAACCTTGATTGAGCAATGGTATTATATGTGTGTCTGTTTGAAGCTATTCCCACATCTTAAAAATAATATAAAATATATATTGCTACTGCTAACCCTTCTAAATATTTTACATGCACTAATGGTTTCATTGTATTTTGCTTTGAGGTGTTTTGGAAAACAATACTGTTTAACAAATAAACCAATTTAATTTTTAAAAATCCTCCAGATAGAAGAATTAAAACAAAAGCAGATGACAAGTTTAAATCAGAAAATAATTTTAACACTACTAGGAGAGGCAATATAAGGTTTGTTTTTGCAAAACAATTGTGATGGTCTATGATGGTTTTGAGATGGCTCACAACACACATGTCCAGTAATCACAGTGTTCAAACAGCAAGAACGCAGACATTCATAAATCTTGATCATATAATTATATCTGACAATAATCATTAGCATTACATGGCACTTAAATTTTTGCAAAGCACTATATATTTTGTACATAGACACTGTGTAGTCAGACACTAGCTGTGTGACCCTGCTTAACCTTGTTTGCCTCAGTTTCCTCATCTGTAAAATGAGCTGGAGAAGGAAATGACAAAGTACTTCAGCATCTTTGCCAAGAAAATCCCAAAAGGGCTCATAAAGAGTCAGAATAATTGAAAAACGACTAAACAACGATAAATGTACATGTTACCTCACTTGAGTTTCACAACTCTGAGAGATGCTAATATTTTCATCATTTTATGGATGAGGAAACTGAAGTACACGGGGTTAAGTGACTTGCTCAAGGTCATACAGCTAGTGTAGTCAGATCTGAAGTCAGGTCTTCC